ATTCCTTCTGTGTTCGTGTCCCGCGGCAACTCCATGACCGAGGTGTGGGTGCCCTCCGCTGGGCGGTTGACGTGTTTGCAGCAAGCGGGGTGGACCCGGGCAAGCTGGTGGTGGTGCCGGAGGGAGTCAACACCACCTGGTGGGCCGCGGATGTGGGGATGGGGGATGGGGGATGGGGGGGCGGGGGGGGGATGAGCGTGTGCGTATGCGGGGGTTTTGTCGCGCCTGGGGAAGGTCGAAGGATACGGTTTACTTGGCCAAATGGGTCGGCTTAACCATACAGTATATGTTATGAATGGATAAGTAAATGGCCGAACGGATGATTTGTTATTCGTGTTGGCCATCAATGTGGCGTTTTTTTCCAAGTAATACGTCTGCGGGCGTGCCGGGCCCACGCTGATGCGGCTTGAGATTTATCATGTCGTATGGGTAACTCAGGGGTTTTCCGCATCCTCATTAGGCGTCGGCGCCTTACGGCATCCTCATTAGGCGTCGGCGCCTTACGGCATCCTCATTAGGCGTCGGCGCCTTACGGCATCCTCATTAGGCAGCACCTTGCAGCATACCCAACCTTCCACGTCATTCTGTAGGCCTGTAGGGTTACGCCAGGAAACCTAGACCCTTTGTTAAAAGAACCAGCATGAGCTCACAAAACCGTTAACCCATTCAGAAGTGATAATGTCTTTCTTATCCGCTCCACCCGCCCTGCTGCTGTCCGCTGGATCACATCCGCACGCAGGTTCGACCCGGAGCTCTACGAGCCCATGCCGCTGCCCCAGGTGGGGCCCATCCGCAACGTTTGCGGTGCGATGCGAGCTCTCCCACACTTCCCCCACACTTGCCCACAATAATGATCGGGCGGCTGCATGGCCGTCATGACGGCTTTGCATGCTCAAGGACCCCCTATCTCCGCCTCTGCTTTCTGACTTACTGACCCGACCCGGACCTAGGGCTGCTTCCCAGGTCGCAAGGCTGTTGACCAACCCAAAGGCTGGCACCGCGCCGTTACTTACAATCATCAACAGTTCAAACCACCTACCACCATCCCGCTCCTCACCACTTTCTCGCAGGGCGAACTGGTGTTCGGAGACAATGTCACCGTTGCCGCCAATGTCAGCAATGACGCCAGTGGCACCGCCACTGCCGGCGCAGCAGCTGGCACCAGCAGCGACACGGCGGGCATAGACACCTCTCGGCCCTTCAGGTGCGTCTTCTCTTGAGGCGCGGTGCGTTTCCTGCTCCTGTGCTAACCGCAAAGGCCCCCTACCGAGAGGAATGAAGAGTCCGCGTTACTGCTGCTACTGGTGCTGCAGCTGCTGCTGTACCCGTTGTTGTTGCGGTTGTTGTGTTGTCCTGGCGACTGCAACTGCTGCTGTTGTAAACCATTCCTCCTCCCTGCCCACACGCCTGAGAGTCCCTTCCGCGTCCCAGCCTAGTGGTCGGTCGTGGCGAAGCCATGCCTGATCCTGTCTCTTGTAAGAGAAACCTCCGCCTCACACCCCTTCCCGCCGGGCCCGTCCAACCCGCGGCAGACTGCTGAGCACTTTCAAGTGGGAGCCCCGCAAGGGCTGGGACGTGCTGCTGGAGGTGCGGTGGTAACACGGACTGCTTAAGTCCCCGTATATCCCCCCCCTTCCTGGTACACTCTTGCCCTGGCAGCAGCTTCACTCGTTTGTGGTTCGTCTTTCCCCCCCCCTTTCCTCTCCCTTCACGAAATGAGTTCGATTGGATGATGACACCGGGCTAGGTGTACCTGTTCCGGCTTTCTCTTGGTCCGTTGTCTGTCTCACTTTTCAGGACTGTTCATTGTCTGTTCCTTCTTCCCAGCGGGCGCCACCTTCTCTGCCCTGCCCCGCCCCTTGCGCCCATCTTCTCATCTAACTACCCCCCAGGCCTACCTCACGGAGTTCACTGCCGACGACCATATCGAGCTCTACATCATCACCAAGCCTTTCGTTGGCGGAGGAGACTTCAAGAAGCACATGCACACGTAAGCACCGTTTGTCGTTCTTGTGGAGCTTGATGCGGTTTGATTACGTACAATACATAACGCAATTAAAGGATCTACCCGAAGGACAGCCCCTGTCGTTTGAAAAGAGGGAGGCAAGGGTCTGTTACGGGTTTTTACATCAGATGGAACCTCGCTTACGTTCATTACGCATGCAGGCAGGGATGGGGCGGTGGGTGGGGTGGGGTGGGGTGGGGTGGGGTGGGGTTGGGGGTTTGTAGCGTGGGAAAGGGGGCTAGAAACCGACAGGCAGACAGCCTGGCATGGGCTGTTTGGCAAGGGGAATCTCGGACCCTCGATCCCTCCGGGCCCCCTCTGACCTCAGAAGTCCCTTAAACTCCTTTCTCAGCCTGATCGTGTACCCTGATCGTCCCTGCTTGCGGCACACCGCTCCGCCCTGTGCTTACATGGTTCTCGCATATGACTCCCCCCTAAGCTCCTCAGGTGGCTGAAACGAGCTCAGAAGCGGCTGGGTCTGCCGCCAGAAGTGCTGAACAAACCGAGCCGGCTGCCGCGACTGTACGTTATCTCGTCCCACATCTCCGACGCCGACTTCCCGCGCTACTACAGAGTAAGGAACGACAACAACAGCATCATGAAAACGAAGTGCCTGGGCGGGACAAAGAGGTTTCCACCCCGCCGGTGCCCGGGTGTACGCATGTGGTTGTGCAGGCGCGGGGTTCGTGTTAGGGGGAAGCATTCGCTTTCGTGAAGATACAATAGCGGGTAGCTTGCGCAGCTACGGAAACTGTATGTATGTATGGTGGCGGGTCTGCCCCAGAGGCGTGCATGTCCGTCTGTATGTGTATCCAGGACTGTGGCTCACTGTAAAATGCTACAGTGTGCGGAAGTGTACGGGATGCAGTCGCGGATGATGATGGCCGGTGCCTGCCCCAGCGCTTACCTCCCCACCTCGCTTCAACCGGCACCTCCCCGACTCGCTACTTAAGATCTTCCCCCACGTCGGCATGCAGCCCTCGCGACGCTAGTTGCTTTCCTCACCTTTCCTCCCCTCCTCTCCCCAACGCCCCAATCCCAGCCCTGTCCATACTCCAGTCCAGAACGCTCTCCTCAACGGCCAACGCTCCTCCCAAACCCCGCCCACGTCGCCATCGGTCTCCTTGAGCTCTGCATATGGTTGCCTCTGGGCCCCCCCATACACACCCCAACACACACACCACCCGACACCCTTGTGCAGGCCGCCGATGCATTCGTGCTTCCCAGTCGCGGTGAGGGCTGGGGCCGGCCGCATGTGGAAGCCATGGCCATGGGGCTGCCCCTCATAGCCACAAACTGGAGCGGTATCACGGCCTACCTGGATGAAAGTGTGGGATATCCTATAGCAGTCGAACGACTTACCACGGTATGTACTTGTGTTCGGGAGAGGAGGAGATGACAGACAATGGGTTACAGGGTAGGGAGGGGGTTGTGGGGGGTAGGTAAGGGGAGTGAGGCTTTAGAGCGGGGGTTTAGAAGAGGGGGGAGAGCTGCATTGGGCCGTATTGGGGTATCAATGATAACAACAATATTAGCAACAGGGATGGTGATGCGCGGACGCAGCCCGCAGTCAGGCATGTGTCGTGTGGGGAGGTCAGGGGCGTTTCTGCGCCCCTACAAGGGCCCCTCAGCACTACCGGGAGTGACCCGGACTTAACCTCTTCCCCGAGGGAGGAAGGTACGAGTGTACGACTCCACGTGGCAGGTGTGCGTATGTGCGTGGTTTGCCCTTCAACTTAACCTTCTCCACAGCATCCCTATTGCCGCTTTAACCCCCAAACTCTACACGCGTGTGCGCGGGAGGGTCTTGCCTGTTCGGCCTCCTCCGTCTTCCCCTATGGTACGGTATGGTGATCCCCGCCGCGGGTGCCCTCGGGCCTCGGTCCGTGCGCAGGTATCGGACAACAGCGTCTGGTGGTTTCGGGGCCTGAAATGGGCGCAACCCAGTGTGAAGCATACGAGACAGCTCGTGCGCCGGGTGTACAGGTAACCCGCCGCACCGTACGCGCATACGGGCCTTGCTGACTCCTCCACGCCATTGCGTCCTGACTCGTGTAACCTCAAACTCATAGGGCCACATAGGGCGGCACGGGGTTAAGAAGTGGCTGTGTTAAGGATGCCAGGAAACAGCCCGATAGAAGCCCTATGAAACCGTATTGCTGATATGTTGCGACATGCCTTGTTAGCAGGCCCAGCATGTTCGTTGGAGCAGCGTCGCTGGCCTTTATATGCCGACGATGAAAGGGTTGATAGTCGACATTAGCCACCAGAGGGGAGGAAGGGAAGGAAGACGTAATTGTCCTGCAGTAATTGTCCTGCATCCAAACGTAATAGAGGCAGAATGTCATTATTGCCATTACTATTCCTTCCCTCTGCTGGGCAATGTCGACTATCAACCCTTTCATCGTCGGCCCCTTAAATACACGCTGCAGTTCAGATTTGTATTCCCAGAGTAAAGTTTACTATCTTTCCCCCCCAAAGATTTATTATCGTGGGTGGATATCAACGAAAACCATTTCCCCTTTGGATGCGGGTTTCCCGTTTCTTTCCTGCGTAACTTTCACCTTCATTTCTTTTTTACCCTCGGAACGGATCTCCCCATGACCCTACCGCCCACTTGTTTCACTGATCAAGCAATCGAGAGGAAGCGAGGGCGCGCGGTGCTGCAGCAAGGCGAAGGATGGTGGAGAGGTACAGTCCAGACGTGCTAGCGGAGGAGGTGGCGCGACAGTTGCGGCGGATTGATCGGTTGATTCCACACCTCCCGCCACCCGAGTAGTGGTCGGCGCGGTCTGAGGGGGAGTAGTGCTTACGATGAAACGGGGGGAGAGTGTGAAAAGTGTGGGAGGCGTGGTCTGGGGATTGCTGCAAGGAGGGGGACAGGAAATGCATCCGTCGTAATGTTCTGGAAGGACTGTGGAGGTGTTGTGGGAGTGTGTGTGTGGGAGATGACCGGGAGTGTCGGCACAGCAGGCGCTTTGGAAGTGGAGATGGATAGACCCGACCAAGGTAACCCCACACTAGTCTCGTCTCTTGAATGGGCGAGGATGCTTAGCGCTGAAAATTTACATTAACCGTGATGTATCCTCTTGTGCTGTGATGTTTTGTGCGGCGATGTACGGTGGATTTGCTACTACCCTAGCAGGTAGTCAGCGATCGGCAGCTGGACAAATCCACGTACAATACAGCGATGCAAGTGCTTACGTAGCTTTGTCTTTACAGGGCTGAAAGCCGGACAATTACTGAACTTCCTACATTCCCCAGGGCCCTTCTGGTCAAAGTCAACGGCACTTTTCTCTGTTAGCAACCTCATTTCATGTACACACACCCAGTTTTGCAGTTATAGCCAAATAACATACCAACAGCGTGACACCTGGTTGCTTGACTGTGGCTTTGGCACCTCGTTTACAACTCCAACCTCGCAACCTGGCTGTGAATAGCAGAGACCAAAAATGCAGTCTATGCCAAGTACATCTCTTGTTCTCGACGACCTTACTCAGGTGAGGGTATTTCTGCGCAACGACCGGAGGACATTATGGTCGCTGGCCCGCGTGCGTTATATTCGACATGAAAAACAGTTGTATCAATGGATCACTGTAACTGTGCAGGGCTTGAACGAATGGCGTAACATTCAGGTAAGGACAAGTCGCAAATGTGTGACCCTTGCCGCGGCGAATCCTCAAACCATATGGGAAGATAACTCGCTGTTAGCGAATACGTATATGAGTCAAAAGACAGCTCTCGTCGTGGGTTTCCTGCTTTCCTCACAAGTTGTCGTGCGGGGCCGGGTGTAGTGTTCACGTCTTGCTTTGAAGCCCTACAATTAAGTATGGAAACGTCTTTAGTATAGCATACTTACTATTTATATCAAGTAGCTTTGCTGGGTCGTTGAGGGAATGGCGAGGAGGGTGGGTATGTCGCATGAAGGCTTGGACAGGATGCGCCTGCATCCCAAGACCTTACAACCTGTCATATAACTTATGTGGAGTTACTGTTAGACACGCAACGCATTTTCGGCAATACTTCAACAATACTTCAACTCAATACTTCAAGTCGGGCCAACTCCTAACCAACTATTTAACCGAGCTTTTCGACGCCAACCTGACGACGACCGACCGGCATCACTTTCGCCCGCACGCCTACAGGACATCGTACGGCTGACGTTCAAAGCTTTCCATGATGTACTTCGGACACAGGCGGAAGCCATCAAGGTGAGTGCCTGAAGCCCTCCCTGTCAGCATACCCTCTACGCAAAAAACATGCCAAGTCACAGCGGATCAGGGCAAACAACGTGAATGAGCAGGCCCTTTGTCAGTACGGTCATGTTCTTATTCCTGCCAAAACGTGGATCCTTCGCCCGACTTTTGTCTCGTCGAACAGGCTATCGAACGGTCGGTGGACACCAAGGCCAGTCGCGCAGAGATGGCCGCGTCACTGCAGCAGAAAGCCAACGCCGCGGACTTGGCTGCTCGCATGAAGGAGGTAAGGCGGGCGGAAGTGGGCTACGGGGTTGCCAGAGCGGAGCAAGCTGGTGGCGACGGGGTGTAGGCTTTGGGGCGGAATATCTCGGACAGAGTACCTCGAGGTAGCTGCGGGTTCGGAATGCAAGGAAAGATCGCTGAGTGTGGAGAGAGGAGCTACACGCCTGGCGTAGGACCCTGCAGGCGAGCCGCAGTGGCGTTACCATGCTACGCGTTGGGAGTCAGCGCAGGGCCCGAACCCACGTGACCACATTCCATGAGCGCTCAGCGTCCACGCACGCGCACAACGCCTTCTTGCACGGTGAACGTGAACCCACATGGCATTAACGGGTTGAGCAGCGCGCAGACCCTTCAGCCCCAGGTCCCGGCCGCGACATTGCCGATTCCCTGTCCGCCCCACAGCTTGAGACCCAGATGGCCTCTAAGGCCGATGTTGCCGATATGGAGCGCCGCGCGCTCAAGACGGAGATGGATGCCAGCATGCGTACCCAGATGACGGACATCTACAACCTCCTGCGCGCGAAGGCGGAGGATGCGGAGTTCAAGGTGGGTTCCGTTGTCGTCGCTGGCACGTGGAGGACGTGGATGCGGTAGTAGTGATGGAACAAAGGCTTCTTTCCGAGTCAGGGGTTGCGGGTGGGCCCTGGGTGAAAACATCATGGCACACAAAATAGGGATCACGTGCTCGGGAGGAAAGCAAGCGCAAGGTTTGGGGCCATAATGGGAACGAATGCGTTGCGGTCCGGTTGGTGCTGCGATGGTGAAAGTGGCGCATGGGCTCGGCAGGGAGGGGAAAAGCGTCATCATGGCCTGCGGGCCGGCAGCGAAGGAAAAGTTGGGCTTTTTTCCTGTGCCCAGCCAAATGTAGCATATACACAATAGTTCCCCGTATTCGCCAACTATGAAGTCATAGGGGCATCGTGCAACACATCCTCCAAAAGGTTTACCCCGACGATGTGCAATTTATCAACAGGAAAGGAACCCATCGACAGCATGGGCAAGCCCTAGGCCCTCCTGAGGCGTATCCTGCTGTCGCATTACCCTCTTGCCGAGTTGGCGCCCGCCTCGCCCCGCAGGCCTTCAAAGAGCATGCCGATCGGCAGCTATCCGCACTGCGCGCCGACGTGACGCGCCTCGGCTCCGGCCTGGAGGCGACCCGTACGGCGCTGGACAGCAAGGCGGGCGTGGCGGAGGTGACGGCCGCGCTGGCGCAGAAGGCCGACATGGCGGAGGTGGAGGACAAGCTGCGGGACAAGGTAGTGTGTGTGCGCGGAGGAGAAGGGACCGTGAGATCCATGTCACGTTCATGCCGTGTCGTGCGCGTCTTTCCTACAATTTCCTTAAAATCGGGTTGTTATAAGGGTTCCCAAATCATGGCAGCGTTTCATCGTGTGCGTAGGTTTAGACCTTGCATCACGTTCCAGCTGCCCAATCCGGCCTTTCGCTGGCCGCTGCACACATTGAGCAGCGACAGCACGCACGCTATGCGTGTCGCTTTCAGAGACAGAGAGGTTACTTCTGAGGTTCTCTGCAATGACCAATGGCCGACCTGTGTTGTAAGCCCTTGTCTTGGCCTGTCCGCTCCTGTGCAGGTTTCCCGCAAGATGTTCCAGGAGGGTCTGGCCCGCAAGACCGACGTGACCCAAATAGATCAGCTAGAGGGCCGCCTGGGCCAGGAGCTCACGGACCTGCGGGCGCTGGTGGGCCGGAAGGCGGATGGTACGGCGCTGGAGGAGGTGCGGCCTGCAACCCGGGAAGCTGCTTCAGAAGGGACCGGGTGGGCGGTGTAGTCCCAAAATCGCAGAGGAGGATGGGGCCTTAAGTGGTGTTCTGCGCGTGTTTGTATGTTAGAGCGCGATAAGGAACCAAGTGCTGATGCCATGGTATTATGGCTTAACTGATCAACTAACTAAGGATTGAAGCCCAGCAATCCAGCGTGAAGCTCTAGATACGTTCGTCTGAATATAGACGGCAACAAGTGCGTGGTGGTGAATGGGTGTAGCGACGCGGTCCAAGGGATATCGCAGTGGAAGGGTGTTCGCGGACCCCTCGGTGGCTATGAAGGGGTCAATTTGAGGCACGGTTGAAGCTACCTTTGGTGGATTTAGCTTTGATGAGTTGCCACAGATCCACAAACGCGTGGAAATGCTGATCAGGAAATCCTGTTTGCTATTGCGCGGTGTGAGCCCAGGGTTATGCAGCCCGGGGTGTCGGTACCTTCGATTGGCGTGGCAGCCGTTTAGGGCTGCACACGCGCGGCTTTGAGCAGTGTTCCTCGCGCCTGCAGGCGACGTACGTGTTCACTTGCTCGCATGAATGTGCTTGTCTGGCGATTTGCAATGCCTTCCGACGCTAGTGCTTGTGTCCAAACCCCCGGCCGGCCGCAGGTGTCCAGTCGGACAGAGCGACTGCGGCAGCGCGTGGAGGCGGACAGCGACACCACCGCCGCGGCGCTGCGGACTATTTCCGCCACGTTTGATAACACGCTTGCAGGTACGGATGAATGCGCTTCTTTCTCTGGCAAGCCCTCGTAACAGTGCACTGCTGCCGCTACCTTTCGGAAGGCACTACCCCCTGCTATCTCTTTTGGGCCTTGGGTCAAGCGGACTATGGTCGCCCAACGGACCGTAGTCCGCTTGACCCAAGGGCCAAAAGAGATAGCAGGGGGGACTCTCTTGGTCAGTCAGCTGTTATGGAGGTCGTTAAGGCAGCACATGAAGCAGCAAGGGCCCCAAGTGGAGGCGCAGCAACCCCGGATACCGGCGTATGTATTCACGCATCACGCAGGAAGATAGAAAACAAGATCGCATAATCCACACCGTGGTCAAGTGTGTATAGCAAGCTTCCACGTGTACCATAGGAGCTCACCTCGGTGAGCACGATGGTCCGGGTTGGCATGCATCGATAAGGATTAGGCATGATGGCCTATATCTATGTATCTGTAGCGCGGAGGCGAAACCCGGGTCCTGTCCGTGGTTGGCTGCCTGACGCAGACGTGCGCGGGCGGCTGGAGAATTGCACCACCCAGCTGGCGACGCTGCACCGCAACGTGGGCGCATTCGACCAGCAGCTGCGGGAAGTGGATGGAGCGTTCAGGTGCGAATGGCTGAAGCCACAGGCGGATGTTTTGCTTACGACTGCGTGTCCTGCCTGGCTTTTGCGCATCTTTGAAAATGTTCCAGGTATAGCCTCCCACTTCCGCGGGCCCCTCTTCTTTCTTCTCTGCACTAGTTCGTTGCTTGCTTGCGCCTTGCCATTAGGGAGACGCTCTCTAAGAAGGCTGACGCGGTCGAGGTCTACCGGCTCTTGGACCGGAAGGCGGATGCTGCGGCGGTCATGGAGGCACTGCAGCATAAGGCCTCCCAGGTGAGGGGTGAACTATAGTCGCGTCTGAGACTCCTCGTAGTTAGGCCCGGGTGGCAACAGAAAGGTCGCAGCCTCAGAGGCGGCCTGCAGGAGCGCGAATTATTGTGCATGCAGTGCGCAGTTTTGAACCGAAAATGCATGTCAGCCGGGTAAGTAACTGCCATTACAGCAATTCAACCACACACCTTGGATTACCGACTGATTGCCCGATGTGAACACGACCCGATGAATTGCTTATAGACTGTGAAGCATACACGGTCTTGGATACGCGGCCAAGGGTCCTCCGTCTGCGTTCTGCACATAAAATGCATGCCAGTATCCCGTATGAAATGTATGTTTCTTGCACAGGACACTGTCGATGCAGTACTCAGCAAGGTTGACAATGCGCTGGACCTGACGGCCCGGCTGGACGCACTCCAGCGCGACGTGGACTGCAAATTAACGGAGGCCAAGGTGCGCTGCGATGCTGTGTCAGGGGTATCGCATGCCCCTGGGTTATATGTCCTGTAAAGGAGTCGGCTTATGCCCCGCGCACCAGGTCCTAAGTCATTGCTAGCTGCTGCTGCTGCTGCTGCCGTTCCGTCTTTCCAAACTGCATCTGTTCCGGGCTTATGGCTGTGTCTTAGTTGTGGACTCGCACAGATCTAACCTGTTGCAGTGCACGCAGTGCCCACATCGCATGCGCGTTAACACACAAGCAACACGAGGCACGGGGGGCTGTGTTGGCGCCTAGAAAGGGAAGCGGCGTATTTCTCGGCATCTGTAGCCATCGTCTGACTGTCCGTCGCCTCTGCGGGTTTCCTGTCACATCCGCAGAACCTTTACGCGACGATAGAAGGACTGGCGCGAGTGGAGGACGTGAACAAGGCCCTTCTAGAGGTCAGTGTTTTTTGTAAGGAATAAATTGGGGCTTCGGCCCTATCTGGGAAAAAAGGAATGGATTTACGTCCGGCCGCACAAACTCATTTCTTTTGCCAGAGAAACTCTCCGTCCTGTCAGAACGCCAGCCCAGACGTAGTCCTTAGAAGACCCTTACCATAAGTCACGGGGCATTGGAGCATTCCTGACAAGGCCAGACACGTCTCAGTATGCCATCCCAACGTTTCTTATAGCTGGAAACCAGCAAAGGCTGATGACCCGACTTTGCAAATTTTATTTTGTCATTGTGGGGGTTTTCCGGAGGGCCGGTGGCTCCCCAGTGCGGCACGGTTAAGGAATCATTTTACCAGCCTGAACTAGTCTGACTCAGAACAGCTCAGGATAGCATTCCTGGATAAATTTGAGCCCCTTTTAGTGCAGGAAAAAAAGCTGTATGCGGTGCGTTTGCGTTTTGGAATTGGTAAAGGAAAAGCTGTTTCTACGTAGTGTTACTGTTAAGCTTGCATGGCGCCGTCGTTAAGCAGCACTCGCATGGAATCGGTTGGGCACGGCATAGGGATTGCGTTTGGAAGTCGTTCTGGATCGGGAGGTTCGTGTGGTGTCTTGAAACACTGCGCGGGAGATGGGAATAGTGCCGCTGTTCCTTACCGCAGCTTGGCTGTATGACTCTTCTGGGCATGTTCGTCCTTTCAGGTATGCGCGGAGCTGGAGAATAAGGCGCCAGTCAACGAGATCGTGCGGTTAGAGCGGCAGCAGGCCGTCATCAACTCGGGCTTTGCACAGAACCTGTACATGGGAAGGTGGGTGCTAGCGGACTGGTGCAGCGGCTGAAGGACTTGGGCTGAACTGGTTTTGCAGGGTAAAGCCGCGTGACTGTTATAATAAACAGTAGCCTATCCGTATACTTCCTTCGTTCATACCTGGTGACCACATTTCCGGGCAGGTGCCACCCGTCCTGTGCATTTATAAGCTTCAACTTTACCTGGAGTGCATTGCAGGTGGCTGTGGAAGAGTACGCGGACCAAGGCTGGCAACGCCGTGCCCTGGGAGGTGCAGGCGGTAAACACGGACACCGACAACTTTATTTGGGAAGAGGGCAAGGTGCGGACGCGAGGGTGCCGTTATGTTGTCAGCCTAGCTGGCTAATTGCCGTTGGCGGCAGCGTGAAAGCGCTGCTTCCGATTTGATTGTTTGCATATGAAAAAACCTTCTCAATACCTTGGGATTTTAAGTTCCACATGTTGAAAGCTTACCGACTATTACAATAGCGCAAAGTCAGGTTCGTAAAAGGTATGGCCGCGCCGGGGGACCCATGAACGGTCAATAGCCATTTTAGTGTCACCGATTGGGGATGTTGACATCCTCGCCCACTCGCCCGGGCTCGGCGCGCCTAGGGACCCCACAGCGATGCGCCGATAGTTATTACAACAGGAAGCATCTCCGCGGGATGATGTGCTGTAGTGACGTAAAGGAGCGCGGGTAGACACCCCGTACATGCAGTTGAATAATGACGTCAAGTAGGGTGCAAGCACATGCCTGGGTCGCCCGTCGCCTCCCTCACAAGTTGCATGCTTGTGGTTCTTGGCCTCGATGGCTTCAAGCCCCGTGGACATTTTACGCATGGCCTTGAGCCCTACGATGATCACAGACAGAAGTGACCCCTGTGGGGATTGAATCCACAACCTTCAGATACGTTTGGCATGGGTATCAGACGTGCTACCATTACGCCACGGAGCCGCTTCAAGCGATGTATGCCACGCATTGGTGACAATAGTGCCCTCCCCCTCTCCCTCCCCGTCCACGCATTGTTATTGGTGCGTAGGCGACCATTGTGACGGTTTCGCCCGGTTTGTACGAGGTTTCCCTGGGTTTCTATACAGCTACGGGCGCGTCACGTGGCAAGCGGTCGCCGCCCGTAATTCAAGTACTGGTCAATGGCGAGGTTGCATTGACCGCTGCCAATAACCTGGCTAACCCAGGCGCAGGTGGCGGCGGCGCTGGGGGATACAGCTACGGCGGCGCTGCGTCGCCCCCCGGCAGCGGCGCCCGCCCATCCCCTGGCCAAGACCGTGGGACCAGCACGACGGGTCTCGTGTCGTCGCCTGTGACGGGCATGACGGCGTGGGACGTCCTGTTGCTGCCGGCCAAGGCCAAAGTTGCGGTCACTTATCAGGGCGAGGAGCGTGGCGAGGGCTTCTTGGGGTTGCGGAAGTTGTAGCTGTGCTGGCCATTGACTTGCCATTTTCTTAGACCTCTGATTTCTCATGCAAATGATAAGTGCATTGGGCGACTTCTTCGTGGTTCACTCCACGAATTGCTGAAGTAGACTACGTGCTTCAAACCGAAGCGCTCGAAGTGACGTTTTCCTTGAATTTGTTTGTTTGGTGTTACACGTAAGTGGAATGAGAAAAGGAAAGGAGTGAAGTAGGCTTTGTCCGATGCAATCTTCCCAGCGCCTGTGGTCTTTCAATGTTCGAAAACCCTAACGTAGAAGTCCTTACAAGTATAGCTGGGATTGCTGGGACTAGTCCGCGTGTATGCTCCCTCCTGAACTTCGTTCTTGCTAGGCATGTGCAGTGAAACACTAACAGTTGCGGGGTATTTCTATTGTACCGCAACATACGAGGCCATCGCCCGAAGCGTTGCGACTAAATCGGTTATCCCTTTTTGAATGGACCACCTGTCTCAACGGCCCTTTTACCTGTACTGTATTTTGCTAATGCAATCGGAATCTAGCAACCTTCGCCAACAAGGGCTAACGTGGCGAAGTCCAGACACCGTAAATCTAATAAAGCACTAGTGTACTGGATAGTAAGGGTGCTGGATCAATCCCAATCATACAACGAGATTAAAATCCCTTGACCGAAAGAGCGTGGATACTATCCCGTGCCAATCGTTGAGGATGAACTCGGCTAGGATGAGCTATCGGGCCGATTTGGAGTGGAGTTGGCGCAGTGGTTGATCCAGCAGATCCCAACGGATGCGGATGGAGGCGTAAACTATAAGTTGGAGCTTATGGACACCAGTAGCACGGGGGGCTTTGCCCCTAACTTTAACTCCTAAACCACAGGGCCCTTGACCCGAAGTTATGTTGTGAAGATCCCTAGGCCGAACGAAGCCCGTTCGTTACAACCAGAGACAAAACCCTTTCCCCGAAGGGGATGAGCGCGTCCCCCTTCGGGGGAAAGCGTTTAAGCTTAAGGGAACTTACGGGGCTTCAACGCCCTCAACGTAGCAAATCTCCGGCCAAAGATAGATTCCATGGATTTCGTTGTGATTAAGTTTGTTAGTACAACCAGTGAGCGCACACATTGTCTTTTAAGAGGGTGTAGTGTTTTAAGAGGTTGTAGCCATTAGGCCTTTGGGTTAGCTGGTCGTTATAAAGTAAGTTAAGCTTAGGATAGGCCCGGGACTTTTACTCTCCCTAACAAACTACGTTTCAAGTAGGCCGCAGCCCGCTAGCTGCTTGGCAGCGATGCATTATGACGTAAGGCCTACTAAAAAGCCCATTCGTATCACAAAAACTGTTGCAACGCACCGAAGGTTGTAGTCTTTTTCGCAAAGTCCCGATACTTGTGACTATTGGAAAGTCGTTATCTGTTGCAAAACCCGGCATGGTTGAGGAGGATCGAAACATTGGGGAAAGGGAATGCCTCGGGCCGCCAGGCTAATGGGTACAGGTGGCCCTCCTACTTAACGCAATCGTAAGCCAACTGCCAAGCGCAAGCTGGGATCGGTCCAGCTTAGGTAGCCACCATTCAATCCAGCCACTGTAGTGCAATCACACGCTATGTCGCGCTTCGTTACCTGTGCGGACAAGTGTAGTAAAGCAGCCGCATGCAGGTGGCGTCTTGTCGCATCAAACCATTTGTTGGTGGAATACATATCTGCGCCGGGCATGCTCCGGTGAGGCCTTTCCTCTTTTCACGCAATCGAACTTCTGTTGTTGTTATTGCAGCGGGCACTTCTGTTGTGGCGAGCCGCGGCTCAAGCCATAACGGGCCATCCAGCGATTAGTACGGGGAGTAGGGGTCTATTGGGCTGTCTACGGGGGAAAATGCTCCCATTAGGCAGCCAGCCAGCAGCCCCAGCTCAGCTCAGCCTGCATATTGGTGTAAGTCGTGATGCATTACAACATGCCTGTATGCGCCTGTGCGACGCGCACTTTGCCATTTCAGCCAGGCTAAGCAAGTAACCGCGCTAATACCCCTACCCCATTTTCCCCAGTCCTGTGGGAGGTGATAGGGAGAAGACCAAGAAGCGGTCCGCTGCCATCGTTTCCAAGTGGATGGCGCACGGCACCATCGGCGACATGACTGGTGGTGATATGAGAGGTAAGTGGGTCACGCTGTATAACAAAACATGTATGTTTTGTGAAGCTCAGTGGATGTGAATGTACATGTATCATAAAAGCAACCAGCAAACAATTGAAGTCACAGCCAGCCCAGCCCAGCCCAGCCCAGCCCAGCCCAGCCCAGCCCAGCCCAGCCCAGCCCAGCCCAGCCCAGCCCAGCCCAGCCCAGCCCAGCCCAGCCCAGATGAGCCTGCGTTATTTGAATGTTGTGATGCATTGCAAGATCTTGGCATGCTAATTGCGCGATGCGTTAAGTCGCGCTCCGTACAATTGCTGACGTTTTTATGTGCCTTGCGTCCCTACTTCCCCATTTCGGTTCGGACTGTGTGTGCGGGGTGACTCTCAATGAGTAGCACAGCTGGGGGCGATTAAGAGAGGGTTCGGTGAAGAGCAGGTGCAGGCCGTGGCCTGGGACTTCGGAAGGTGGCTTGGCGGCAAGATGGCTAGGCGGTGAGTATACTCGGGGGATGGGTGGCTTGGGGGTTGGGTTCACGGCCCGGTGGCCAGGGGTTCGCTAAGTGGCTGGGCGGCTGGGCGGCTCGGCACCTTAGTGGCTTGGCGGTTTGGCGGCAAGGCGGCTAGGCGGTGAGTATACTCAAATCACCAAGGCTGGTACACCGTGTTACATACTATTTCTTAAATCCGGTCCCCAACGGATACATTTTCTGTCTGGTTTTTCCTTTTTCGCTTGGCGCGGTTGTTGGAGTCCGCTGTAACTAGCCGAATTCCAACTGCTGCCGCCTTCTTGTCAGATCTATGGTTCGGACCACGGCGAGCGGGACGCGGCCATGGATGCGTACAAGTAGACGCCGCCTCACGCGGGAGTCTATACTTGCAGAACTGTGGCTCGCGGATCCCGTCATCGATTGGAAGCATGGATCAACGGTACGCCGATCCTGGACTGGCCGTGCCATTTCGGGACTGGCTGTACGGCTTATGCGATGGCTGCATCCCCGCTATTAACCGGACAAAACTGTTCCAATCGGTGTCTTCCGACGCCACCGTCCAATTGTGTATTGGATAGATACAACACACCGCCCCGTTCACAGGTTGAGGAAGTTGAACAGCCACATAATGTAGTTAACGGGCAAAAGAATACAGGGCCACAATAAAGATTTTTGTATAAGGTAAATTATTACCTGCTATCTAGAGCAAGTGGCTTATCCAAAGGCGGAACATACATCCCATGTACGGCTGTCCTGGGCTTTTTTCCTTCAAGGCTCTTCTTACTTGTGCTTCGCACCTTCACATCTAGAGTACTATAGGCATTAACTTTCCCCGGGAAGGGCATTCCTTTTCCAATCCAAACGGCTAATTTTAAAAATCGTAACCTTTGTTTTTTACTTTTTTATTCCAGTTCTCGTTGAACTTCTCTATGGCTGAAACGTGTAAATTCTTAAAGCCAGCACGCCTGAAATTATTGCCTCCGGTCGCCCTTGTTTTTTTTTCCTTGGTACACTGTGATCAAGCAATCCAACCACAGGAAAGGCTAAAAATGCGGCATTTACACCTTTGTATGAGCTGCAAGCCTTGAACACCCTTTCGCCTGGCAGCTGGGCTACCTGCTATACGACCATGCTTGCTCGGTGGAAAACTGCCTTTGCTGTGCAGAGTTCAGGGGCTTTGCTCTTCGTTATTATGTTAACAGCTGGTATGAATTTTAGGACTATATGTAGAGTATCCTATTTTGTAGCCTTGGAAACTCTTAGCGGGTTTGCTAGGTGTGTTCGTTTTGGAGTAGGGAAATGGTGCCATTGCCGAATAATGGTAGTGATATCAATGCCCTCAAGGGAGCTAGGTCGTCCTTTAGGCACGCTGTAGGTGCGATAACAGCAGCAGGTCTGAACCCTCAGAACGGATAATAACCATGACTATTGCTGAATACGTTCAACTGGGCGTTCTCCGCTTTTGTGCGCAGTTGCACAAGATTATGACAGTCGCTTGGAACGCGCTGATGCTGAGTTAGATCGCTCTACTCGTACCTGCCGTATCGTTCTTGTGGGGCATCCTACGCCTGCTGCTGGGGCCAGCTTTTCCGTGTCAGAGTTCAACCTCCATTGCTGGTTGGCCACTCCAGTCGGTGGCACCGATTCTGCCACCTCCAACGGCAGCAATAACACGGATGCGCTCGTAGAGGTGCGGCTTGGCCAGAGCTTGCTCAACTTCGTCTTAAGTTCCGGAGCCATGTCCAATATGCTGGGTGTAAACATCGACTTGAGTGCGTCTGCACGGCCTGCAGTGGAGCAGTCGCAGGTATCGGGCGCACAGGCTCCAACCTATGGAAGCTATGGATACAGCAGCAGCTCCTTGGGCACAGGGAAGGTCAGGGCCCTTGATGGCAACGGCACCTTGGGCCCAGAGGACTGGGGCCTTGACATTGTTAACGTGCCTCACCTGCAGCTGGTGGATTCGGTGGTGTCAGGAATCCCCTTGAGCAGCGTGGGACCATTGCTGCAGATCCTCAACTGCAGCACCCTGACCACACGAAATGTAACCCTGGAAGCACTGCATCGCCCGCCAGATGTCATGGATAGGGTGTATGGTGCAGTCCGTGTTACTCGGGTGCAAGCCGCGAACCTGGATGGCATCCAGTGCTCAGACGTCCAAGGTGCAATGGGTTGGGCCTGTCTTCTCCTTCAGGCCAATCCCCGCGGCACCGTGTCCTTGAGCAACAGCTTATTCGTCAACAATTCTGCGGAAGACGTCCAGCAGATCGCATCGGCTGAAGAAGGAACAAGCGATCAAAAGGAGCCAGCATTGCGCCCCCTTTTGACATGCAGAAACAATGGCTACTCCGATACAGACTTCCTAGCGGCTGGTTATGGTGCCGTCCTTATTGTTTACAATGCGCAGTGCGATGCCAGTGTCAGGAACAAGGCCATGGTTTTGGTGCATCGAACAGTCATGAGCTACAACAGCGGAGGTTGTGGAGCAGGCATTGCAGTTAGAAATCCGCCGGAGAGGAGGCTCACGGATGAGGTGGGTCCCATTCAAGCGACGAACACTAAATGACTGGTGTAGGTATTCTAACACGATAGCATTTTTATCGGGGGGGTGACAGCAGATAAAGGGCTGGCCGGATGATGTATGCGCCATTTTCCTCTGCGAACGGGTTTCCGCATGCTGTTTTTGCGACTTCTTGACTTTCACAGTTAACTACTGCTGCTGCGCCTGCATGTACATTTCGCCACTTTCGAAAGAGGCCATCTCATTTATTTTTCGTTTGGATCTTCATTGTAGGGGAAGTGGTGCAATGCAGCACCCATCGATCTATATTTCGCTGTCACGGAATGCACTTTCACACATAATACAGCCGATATGGATGGAGGCGCCATTCATTGCAGTAATGTCGTAAACGGCACACTTTACAGTAACATAAGTGATGGGTCCGTCCTGTCATTCAATACCGCTGGAGGACGTGGCGGAGGTGCATATCTTAGGAGTATTAACATCGAGTATGTTGACGTCACGAGCTCTGAGGTATCGTACAACAAAGCAACCGGTGGGAGCATAGGCAACAAGGATGGTGGCGGTGGATTGTATTTGACATCGACAAACAGCCTCAGAGCTCTCACCATTTACAATAGCACTGTAAATGAGAACAGCGCAGCCTTGTTTGGGGGAGCCGTTGCCGTAAATATTCTTGGAGATGGTACAGGTGATACAGCTGGAGATGGTGGCAGCTTACTGCTGACCGGCAGCTCGTTGCGTAACAATGCTGCCGGTCTTCATGGTGGAGCTATGTATGTCTTTACAGGGGCTAAGGCAACCTCTACGCCCATCCGCTTTGCTGCAGATGAAGGCAGCATTCTTTCTGGAAACCAAGCCAGTTTCAGAGGGGGCGCCATCGCCATAGATGGGGGAGCTGCTGGAGACATGCTGCTGCAGCTAAGCGGTGGTAGTAAGCTGTTCCACAACGCAGCCCTGGATGGAAGCGGTGGCGCTGTTTACATTAATTGTGCACGTATTCGATCCTTGAATGCTACAGATGCCACAATCTCTGGTAATAATGCAACCTGCCGTAATACTTACACTTGTGGTGGGGGTGGAGGCATCTACATGTACACAACGAAGGGCCCTATGCCACATATTTCCTTCAGTGGACAGACACTGTTCGCGAACAACACAGCAGACCGTAATGGGGGTGCACTTTTCGTGTTTCATGATAGCAGCAACACCGACAGTGGACACGGGATTTTCCTTAATGGAAGCACATTCGTCGGCAACATTGCGTCGACTGGAAGTGGTGGAGCTGTGTTCGTGAAGCAATCCTCAGGGGGTCTGGCCACGCTGCAAATGTCAAACACGTCTTTCCTGAGCAACGTTGGCTTGTGCCAGGGTGGGGCTGTGTTTTTGAACATTTCAGGCACAGTTCCCATCAACCAACCTGCTGGAGAGCTGATAAATGGCACCCTGGGCAGTGTAGTAATTACGGACAACAGTGTTCTTGCATACAACTCAGTCCCTAGGCGCATTCAAAGCACTGAGTGCCCCTTGGTAAGCTCTGATGGTGGTGCAATCTATATTGCAGCCAACCGGATAGACCTCCCCTTGACAGTAGCAGGCAGGTCGTCCATCATCGAAAACTCGGCCGCAAGCAGTGGTGGAGCAATTTATGTACAGGCCTTGACATTCCTGCCACAAGGAGGGTTCATAATATCGGACAGAAGCAATGTATCATCCAATACAGCTGGGGGCAGCGGCGGGGCTGTACATCTGTCTACTTCTTACAAGGGAAGTGACGACGGTTATAATGTAAGCGTTTTGAATAGCTCAGTAGCCAACAACTTTGCTAGTGCTGGGGGTTTTTTGTACTTCAGTACACCTTCTCTAAATTTACGATTGAGGACGGCTGGCAGTCGCGTGGTTGGCAACCGAGCTTTAAATTATGGTGGTGGAATTTACGTACAATCAAGTGATGGTATGTTGAACGCCACTGTAGAGGACAGGAGCCTTATTGCTTTAAACGAAGCTGGAATAGATGGCGGGGCTCTTTATTTCATAAATGGTCAGGCCTTTGACTTGTATGTCACCGGTGAGTCCAGCATCCTCAGAAATCAGGCTTTGTCCAATGGTGGTGGTATGTATGTCGTTATCGCCAAGAAAATAAGTGGAACTGCACGTGGAGCGGGAATTTTCATCAACGAATCAAGCACTATCTCGAGCAACACTGCCATTTCTGGTGGCGGTGGCGCAATTTATGTGAAGGTGCGTACTGAATACTAAGGTTAATGGGGAAGGGGCTTGTGCTTACAGCTCCACCATTGTAACGGTGGCTGGAATGTATGGCCCGACCCCACGTGGGCGAGTAAGGGTACGTATGTGTGGGTGTGTGGATGTGTGTTGTAAGTTCGTTGGTATTTGAGTGCATGTATAGACACGAGGGAAGCAGCAGGTGTGCATGCTGCTTGCCACCAGGTGGATCCTCATGCATGGGTGGAAGCCACCTATTGCGCCGAGCTTTGGTGGGTAAAACCCATGATGGTAAAGCGTTTCATACCCTGCCATTAATGAGGCAACTGAGGTGCTTGCTTCCAACGAAGTAGGACAGACAAACTAATTACCTGCACGTCGGGTATAAGACAGCAGCCATGCGTGCGGCCGCATCAGCACCTAAACCAACGCACTGCATTAGGAGCGACGATTAGTTTGTTTGTTGCCGGCAACCAGGCGCCTGCAGTGGTTTATTTCCCGGGTAATCATTTATAATATGGCTGGTATGTATGCATCCCGTCCTGCATGTTCACACCCTACTTCCATCCTACTGGTCTGTCTGTCTGTGACGGAATTGAATCGCAGGGCTTACTCTATAACTTTTCTGTGGATGGTCTCAGCCGAATCGAGAACAACATTGCAGGTGGCGATGGTGGCGCGGTGTTCCTTGATGCCCTATCTGGTGCTGCCAATGCCGGCGATGAATCATACATCGGTAACGTGACTTGGGACGGCATGAGCACGCTCTTAAACAACAGTGCAGGAGGCAAGGGCGGTGGACTTTATGCTCTGGCTAAGACTGTGGAAATTTCCGTGCTTGGAGCATCGAGTTGGTCCAACAACAACGCGAAAGATGACGGAGGGGTGCTGTATGTTGACACTGGGGATTACATTGGCGATGCTAGCCGAATCCTCACAAGCGGGAGGACCCAGCTCTGCAACAATTCTGCCCTAAACGGAGGTGCATTTTATATTCGCGGTTTTGCTGAGCTAACTATTAGTAACGAAAGTTCCATCATTAATAATACAGCGGGCTATGATGGTGGCGCAATTTATTTGGCCCAGCTGCCCCCAGGACTCCGCATTCACTCCTGCAAATCTTCTGAAAACATGGCAGCGCGAGGTTCAGGAGGCGTTCTTTTCGTGTCGACGGTAAGTAACGTCGCGCATCCCGTTAAAATAGTAGCACTGCTTTAAAGGCATTCAGTAGATCGGCGGTTGTATATGTACTAGCTACTGCTCATACACTTTGTATCCTTTTATGATTACAGGGCAAGCAACTGAACTTACCAGATCCAAACGACTTACATTCCTTTGAACTTGTGTGCACCCATACATTAAGGGCTATGCATGACGTCAACGTTGACGGTTAACGGTTAACGGTGCTAGCAAGTACTTCGGCACACATGTGCAGCTACCCCACGCAATTTGCTACATATACAAACATTACACAATACTTTCTGCTTGCCTAAGGATAGACCGCCGTCTTCCTTGCTTTGATCTTCAGGTTGCTCCGAAACTACTACCTCAAGCAACACGGCCAAACTGTGTGCTGCCACTCAGAACCATGAGTGTGAGCGTTGCCAGGTCCTTGTTTGCCAGCAACACCGCAGGGGCGGCAGATGGTGGAGCATTCTTTTTCAAGCCCCATGGGACCTGCGGAGACGACACCCAACTCTTCCTTAACATCGACGACTCCGTGTTTGTTGGGAATACAGCCACTGGTGCTGGCGGGGCGGTAGCCTTGCGTGATGCGTCTCTTACAAAATCTCGCATCACAATCAATGGAACCACCTTCAGCAATAACTCAGCAGGGGCTATGACGGGCGATTTCACAAGTTTAGCTAGTTTCGGTGGTGCGGTACTGGTTTGGCGTGAGCCAACTGCCGGCACTAGATCGAACTTCAATGATGTATGCCAGCTGACGATAGGCCATACAACCTTCGAGGCCAACAGCTGCAATGGAGGATCTGGGGGGGCTGTCATGGCGATCTCTTGTGGCTCGACGTTTTCAGGATGCAACTTCACGTCGAATCGGGCAATGCTCAGTGGTGGGGCTATAGGCGCCCTGCATATGGCTCGCTCCACGGCTACTCTCATGCTGCCGACAACTACAACACTTGCCGCCGCTACCGCTGGTTTGGACGTGGGGCAACAATGTCAGCAGGGCATGTCGGCGCAACAGCGAAGGCATCTGCTTCGCCAATCTCCGATGAGCAGCATGCATCACCGGGATCTGATGCAAGCAGAGATGTTGCAGACATCTACTGACGATTACAGTGGTGGCAAAGGGGATGCCAACACTACTGATGATGTCCGTCTTAAGCTTTTGCATGGCAGCAGCACTACCTGCACCAACAGCTTGTATAGGAATGCAAACTGGTCTGTGAGCCTGACAGATTGCAGCTTCGATCATAATATAGCAGATCTTGAATATGGAGGGGCCCTCTACCTATATGCATCATCAGATGCCGGGAGGATTCACATTGCCAGCTGCAACTTCACGGTAAGGTAGTTGGGCAGGGTGCGTGGTTTGGTTTGGCTGAGTTTGCGTGTCCGCTGCTCATTGCAATCTTTGTGGAACCCCTCCAGTAGCGCTATGGGAATTAACATATCATTTTATCACGGCGGTGCTGAAATTGTGTCTACAAAATTGTGTTATGCCGTTTTGTTTTGACATGCAATTATACCTGCAGCTTATAAACGGCATCCTTTTCGGAGGGATACACTCGCTCTGTCCTGCTGGGCTTGCACTCTTACATCTTGGTCGCCCCTCCTTGGTGTGGTGCATGCGTGCCATGCTTCGCAGCGGAATGCAGCTGCACAACGGCTTGCTGGGGCAGCACTCCTTGCAGCACGAGGAATTGGCACCACCGTTCACGTCTCTGGATCATCTTTTGTGGGCAATACTGTTGAGGTTGCCAGTGCGGGAGGACTGTACACCATGATTGGCGCAGGTGCTTGTGCTGAGGTTGTGAACGTCAGCATGAACAAGAATGAGGCTGCGATATCCGGCGGTGCTGGCATATTTGATGTACGGAGCAAGGGTGTTCTGTTATTACTGAACGTGACAGCAGTGAACAACACTGCCATTGGTGGCAATGCTGGAGCGATTCAGTTACAAATTGAAAGGGACGCGGATGTGTTACTAAACGGCTGTAATTTTGTTAACAACAGAGCATCCGGTAATGGCGGCGCGGTGCTCTTGGATGCTATTTGCAGCTCGTCGGTCACTTTACAGGAAACGTTCATGACCCGCAATGAAGCCGGACTTTCAGGTGGTGCCTTGTATGTCTCATACAGTTCCAAGGGGGATGGTAGTGCAACTAGTGGCGGTGCGTCCGGTTTTCCCCGGTTGCCTGCACAAGCCTGTTCCAACATGTCAGACCCCCAGCGGCAGGCTTTGCTGCACTTGGTACGGCTTGAGAGCAACACTGCCCGACGACAGGGTGGAGCGATCTTCCTCGCGAGAGCAGGCACACTGAATATCCTCAACTCAACGATGCTTTTGAACAGGGCTTGCGAAGGTGGTGGCTCGTTGGCGGCACAAAACTGCTCCTCACTAGTGCTGCGTCATAGCCTCATTGCGGGGAACAGTGCATCCGGTACCGGTGGAGGCTTCTATGCCAATGGCTGCAGGCGACTTCTCCTCGAATACCTGAATTTTACTGGCAATGTAGCCGGAGTCTCGGGTGGTGGGCTGACTATTTCCGGGTCGCCAATCCAAGTGCCGGTGCAGAAGCAGGACATCAGCGCAAAGGTTGAGGAGGGGGATGCTTCTGAGTATACGAGCATGCTTCTACACAGAGTTCGCGTTTCCAGCAACTCGGTTTCAGAGTCTGTGACCAACATGGACGTATGTGGGAATGATGTTGAGGGTGTGGAGCACCTGGGGGGTAAGGGCATGGGTGGGGGATTGTCCATCACTGGAAAAACGGTTGGCGTGCTTAGCCGGTCCAACTTGGAGGAGTCCAACTATGCGTTGTTTGGGACATCGATTGCATCAACGCAGCGGTGCTATCCAGCCAACGGAACGTCTTCATCTACTGCTCTGACAACTCTTCAGGTTGGTTATACACAGCTAACGAATTATAGCGCTGGAACATCACTGGAACAAGCACTTTTAGGTGCACTAGCCTACAAGGCTTTTCTTTTGTCCAGATGCTGCTCACCGCCAAATCGGCCTGCCCTGATTTAAGCCTTCACTGCTGTTCTTTACAGGTTACTGATCCGATCGAGATGCAGGATTGGGATCGCACCTGGATGCAGCTCGACATGCTCGCGGCTATGCAATGCTGGATTTTACAGCTCAGTGACACCCTACTGCCTTCGGTTGCATTCACTGGATCTGCAGCTGCAGCAGCGATGGATGAGGAACAAAGTGGCGCGACTCCATCGGGGTCTTGGGCCCTTGGGCAGGCAGGTATCAGTGCCCCGTGGATTGTGTTATCTGCCTGACGCCATGCCCTGCCGTACAATTGTTACACCGCTAAGGCTGTCATGTCTAGGAAAGATTAAGAGAAGAGCTGAAAAGAAAGCGACAGGCAATAGCACGCACCACCGGCGACTTGGAGGGTGCACGGCGAACAACAAAACAAGATAGCCTTAAAGCTCAACCAACGGTATCCGCTTAACTGTGACAAGCGTGCATTAACCAAATTGTGAATCACATCTACTTACTAACGGGGACTTCTCACACGCCCAGTTTACATTGTGTCCCTTACAGTGCAAGCACACATACACGTCGTTCATGCATGCAGACCTACTTTTAGCATGCTGTTGAGGATATGGCACATGCGTACAACACACAGAGGCAATACCCTGCTGCTGGCTCGCCTCTGTGCACAGGACAGTTGCACTCTGTGAGGGCTATCCACTACCCGCCGCATGTGATTAATTGCTCCATACTGAACAGTGTCCAGAATGCGACCAGGAGTGAGCGGGCAACCAGACGACTGCCGGCACTTTGGCCTGACGAAATGATGGTACCCAACCGACACCGGGTTTACCACGATGCTTTACTTGTGTAATTCATAGCTATTTCGCCCGCCTGAACCCCTCCATTGCAGATCCGAACAATTTGGGTCGACGACTTCCTTGCATCTGCTCTGCATGCAAGATGTAGTCCTGGGAATGAAACTATCGAGCACTTGGTGAAAGCGCTCAGCCAGGCTGAGCAGTCTGGAATGCATGACTTTGACATAGGCCGGACTGTGATGGACCGCCTTGTTGAGTCTCGCACAAAGCGTATCAACAGCGCAGAGTTTTTCGCTGGTCAGGTTCTGGGCCTGGTTACTGCCAACGGGACCGTCCGCGAGGCAGCTGAAATCGCTGCGGACATGGGCGGACTTTCTCACAAGCGGTTTGCGCAGCTAACCTCCCAACTTTCACAATGCATGAGCTTCCCGACCTTGTACACTGGGCCAGAGCGACAAAAGCTCTTGATGCAGCTGCCGTACATAGCGTTACCAGCAACTTACATTGGCCTGCGCTTTGCTGATGCTGACACCTCTACCAGCCAGCGCCTACAGCTGCAGCCGGGTGTTGTGTTCAACCTTACCGCCCAGCTGTATGACATGTTTGGCCAGAGAGTTGTTTGGGGTACGTATGGCATTGCCAACCCTTAGCTTGTGACTACCATTAACCGGGTGACATTGTTTATAATAAAGGAATATGGAGGGCCTATTCGTCCAGGTTCACTTCGTCCCTACAAGCTTAAGCAAGTCCTCGCGTGTTGCTGTCTGTACGTGTTGTATTCTGGGCATATCACATCGGGATCTGCATCCGGCGATCGGTGCTTTTCTGAAGTCGTGATATAACAGTACATGCCTGTGGGAGGGGGCCATGCATGCCGGGGCTAGGGCACGCGGGTGCTCGTGTGTACATAACCGTCTTGGTACATTGGATGTGCTAGTAAAGTATTGTATCAGCAATTCATGCACAGCTCCTACCCTGCTGCTTTTCCCTCGCAGACATTGCCCCTTCTACGATATCCTTGGCACTTCGGCCTCGGACTTCACCTGACGCCACCTACAATGCGACGGTCGCTGATGGGAGCGCACCTTTGCTTGATAATGACGTGGCCAACCTGGACGCCGGCCTGAACAGGAGCTTGACAGTGTCTGTAGTGAACGGGTCAGCGACATGGGAAGGAGTCAAAGCATACGCATGGCCCGGTTTTTACAGTCTCATGCTTTCCTTTTCAAGCAACTACTCGTCTTATGTCAAGGTGGGATAGCTGGACTTCCATTCCACCTACACACGAAGGATTTACTCGTATCCCTTGAACCTGGCCAATTCACTTTATCTGTCAGTAAATGAATAAATATGTCTGTTCTGCGTTGAAGCATTCGTGGTGAAGCTATTCGATAGCCATTCGCGTGGCAGCAATCAAGCCAGTGACAACCAGAGCTTTTTGGAAGTTGCGACAGCATCAACCCGTGGTTGCTCTCGAGTAGCCAACGGATAGAATAGACGGTCTGTTTGCACCTTGCTTGTTGCAAGCAAACACGCATACGTACGCCTGCGAATCGAAGGTTTTGCCCTATTGGTATATATCGTTCGATTGCGCGCACTGCGCATCAAAATTACGGCTGCGATACTATAGATCGCAATGATGGCCAACAAGCTGTGCTATCACCTGTCACCGCTGCAATCTATGGTGTTATAGCGATGGGCAAGCAACAGGTGATGGACCTCACGCACAGAAGGGTTTTTAGCTATCAAGCGCTCCACCGCTACGGAGGAGGGCTCTCTTCACTATGTAGATGCACTGTGTGTGCTCCGTGTAGGTCACACCATTGGAGATGACACTGGAGGTTATCCCATGCCGTGTCGGAGAAACACTGGACCTGTCACGCAGCAACTACAAGCCCTCCTGGACAGGCTGTAAGACGTGTCCCTCTGGTCAGTACGGCTTGTGGCATGACGACCGACCTTCTCTAACAGCTATTTCTGTAGTTGGAGGAGACCTCAGCGGTGCCACTGTAACTGCCGGTGGTGCTTCTGGCAACCAGGGTATTTACTATCAAAGGATGAATGCTACTCTTTACGCCCAGGATTCGGCTTGCAGAATCTGCCCCATAAATGCTGTCTGCCTTGGAGGGGCTGTGATCGTGCCCACCCCAGGTACGTGTGCCCCCGCCAGTTGGTGGTGACGTAATGTGGGAGATAAACCGCCCCACGAATGTACACGTGTAGCCTTGTCCTACGCTCTGTCCTCGTGCTTGGCATGTGCGGGTTTCCCTTCCGGCCTTGTATGCCGCCGATACCTCAGCGATGAGACCACGGATGCACACTTGGTGTTTTCATCGGGCCTGGTCTGTGGACGTGTCAGCTTCGCAGGCAAAGCAAGTCCAACATGCACTTGGTTGCCTAAGCACTTTAGTGCTTCCGTTACGCAACTAACTGCCTGCCTGGACCCGCTGGGCGTGTACCTGGCATGTCTACAGACCAGACCCGATGGGGACTTCGTCCCTGGTGGAACCTAGGGGGCATATGCACATCTAGAATGAGGAAGCGGTGGTCCTAATCTACGTGACAGACAAACATGTCTAGCCTACATGTTCCAATCCTTGATCCCCATGCTGTGCTCCCCTTTCCCGTCTCCAAACAGGCTACTGGCACAGTGCGGCCAACTCCACCAAGATCCACACTTGCCCCAATCCTTCGGCGTGTAACTTCGACGGTGACGTGAAAATGTTTCCGGATTGGCTCTATAGCATGGTCCTTCAATCCGAATATCGAACAAAGCTCTTGGCGCGGTGTCAGCTTGAGTGGTATGCAAGCACCTTGGGCCCAGTCCCGCAAGGGCGGAATGGCACCACTACATTGGACTTGACATCACACGCACGGGAACTTATGCAGCTGTTGCAGAATTCATCCATTGATCTGCTCCCAGCCGTTCTGCTGAACAGCGATAATCCGGCGTTCCAGATGAGAGCTCCAGACCTCCCACGGTGTCTTGTTTCTGGATTACCATCCGGACACCCAGACTCCTACATGCAGCAGCAGTGTGCGGAGGGCTACACAGGAAACCTATGTGCAGCTTGTGTTCCAGGGTACTCCATCGATTCGGTAAGTTCCAGGCGGTAGGCCCTGCAAAGCCCGTACAAAGGTTACAAGGTATGCAAGGCTGTTTATACGCTGGTTCTGAAAGCCCAGCCCGCGGTATTACTTCTTTGCCGCCAAGCAAGCATAGTTTCGTCCATTCGCCATCCCACATGGCACAGCCTGTTGGAAGTTATTTTAGTTAATAAATGTCTTTCGTCCTGCCTCATTCGCTAATCAACTTGAGCTTCATAAGATCCCGAGCGGTCGCATGTCTGGTGCCTGTAAGTTTTCCAACGTCCATTCCTCGGCTCCACCGCGTCCATTCATGCAGGCTTTCAACTGCAAGCGCTGCCCCCAGGTGGCCCGCACCGTCGGGTTGGGTCTGATGTCGTTCTTCAGCAGCGTCGGTTTGATTTTGTTCACCACGGTGGCAAACTTTGCCGAAGGTTTTGGAGAGAAGAAAGGCGAACACTTGGCACAGATGTTGGCCGCTGGTGGCAAGGCTGGCGAGCGGGTGGAGATGGGAGACGTCGTGAAGGTAGGCCTGCCAGTCGTTCAGATCCTTACAGGGTACACGCGGGTACACGATAGTGTGCAATTTGCTGTTCGTGTATTTGTAATTTGTGATGTTACAGAATGGGAGGCTTCTGGGCCGCTTTATCACATTGTCAGTTCTACGATCATTTATCACCTTATAGCACCACCCACCACTACCACACTGTACTTCGCCATACGAACTGTGAGTCCAAGGCGGCGGATCCAGCCTTCAGGGACCCCTCCTTATCCATTCACCCGAACACCCGAAGAGACGGGGATCGGGCAATCGCCACCAATCCAGCGTGCGAATCTGGTCCATCAACTGTGACCTCAACTTCACATCTCAGCAGCTAGCCATAATCTCGCGCTCCCGACTAATTCGGGGGTCTCTCCAGGAATCGAACCCAGGACCATCGCGCATTAGTATTAAGAGGCCTGCTGATGCAAACCCAATAGATGGATGTATGGATGAAGCGCTCAGGGGTGCTCATTGAGCTACGCCCTGTTTGTCTGCCATTGAGCGGGGTCGCCATGCCTTCCATGTGAACTTACACCCATGGGCTTGCCCTTGCCGATACAGGTTATTGTCCTGCATCTCCAGTATCTCATCATCGGTACGTAGCCTATCGTGTACGTTGAATGGAGGTCACGAAGACACCCATCACCTGATATAGGCACGCCTTCGTTTTCTCCGTGCACCGTACCTTGTGTATTTCCTAGCGCTGCACCCTGGACTCAAGCGCACTTACTTTCCACATGATGGCTGATATCCGCCGTGCGTACACACATGTACGTATGCATGTACGTATGCATGCACGTAAGTAAAAAATGCAGCGTGAATCTTAGGGGTTTTTTGCCCGGTCATTTTCGTTGATGGATGCAGTGACGCGTCTGAACATCGACTACCCCAGCATCATCTTGCAATGCCAGGCGGTGTTTGGTGCCGTCACCGGCGCAGAGAACTACCTTGTGTACAGCCCTAGCTGCCTGTTGCCCGGCAGAGACAGCGCCGGCCAGGCCTTCATCCAGTGGCTGGCTGGCATCCTGACGCCATGTGCTGTTGCAACGGTATCCATGCTCTTATGGGCCCTTCGGTAAGCTTAACCACACAGGTTCACGGCCATAAAACCGTTTTAACCGTAATGCCTTACGCGTCCGGGATGCTCCATAAAGTCCTCAGATTGACAGTGCTACTGCGTCACCTTGCGTTGATGTGTTAACAAATTGTCCTGTGGATCCTGGGGCACAGGCAGGCGGCGTCCCAGCCGTCGCTCTCAAAGAAGCTATGAAACCGCCCATGACTCAGTTGGCACGGAATAACTTCACAACAGACGCGGCACTGTGCGATGTTATCTGAAGGTAGCTTCTGGTATGTAGGGCCCTGTATCGTTAAACTTCTGACATCAGGTAGATGTACCACCATCCTAGCGAAGACCTGAATCGCAAAGCCAGAGCAGGCAAGCGTGCATGGACTAGCCGACAGAGACTTAAGACCAGCAAAAGGTCAGGAATGTGAGAAAGATACAGCACACATCTATGCCTATCCAGCTGCGAAGGTAATGGGCAGCTAGCTGCACCACTATTGTCCGACCATGTCCACCTATACACTGCCCATACACGGATACACAACACTTGACCTGCACACGAATTTCTTGCTGTTTGTGCCCAGGTACGCTTACCCGCTACGGAAAATTGTATCCCGAGCAGTCATGGACGCTGCACGGTCAGCATGGATGGCCATGGTGTACGTGCATAAGCGATGCCCGAACCGCAGCCTGCGGTATGTCACCCAGCCGGCCGCCGTCTGCACGGACAACACAGCTCCTACAGCCAGTTGTGGCAGGGTCCCCGAGCACAGCCATGTGAATATTTCGATGCCTGGTTCCAACAATGGGTCGACCTCGCTAATTGCACATGCTGGCAGCATTGGCCTCCGCGATGCTTTCAAGCATGTCGGAGTCATTGCTTTCGATGCAGAGGATGCGGCTGTGCCGCCTGCTGCTGGTCCTCCACTGCCGAGCTGCCCCGCAGGTCCAGCAGCCTGTACTCAACCTCAGCCTGCAGAGCTACCTGTCACAGCAAGCGTAGCGTTCACGATAGACAGCAACACTTTGGATACAGCCTCGGCCACGAAGCTCCCGCAGCTGCCGTCATTGCCCACTGTACCAAGCGGAGATTGCAGGCGTGTGGCTGGGTTGCCGCATCTGCACTTCCGGGATCCGAATGCTGCTGCTGCTGCTTCCCGGGAGCTGGGTCGCTTGGTGAACCGTGATATCCCGGGAATGCACCATGACGAAGACCCTGGTGCTGCTGGCGGTTCCACTGCCGTCAGACCGACATCTCTGCTCCCCGGTGCCAACAGCGTTAACTTGTTGGCCGGCGCACCATCGTCGGTGTCACCGTGTGCCCCGCCGAACATGCCGTACTACCTGGCTCACCCATCGGAGGCCACACATAGGAGGGTTCCCAAGGCGCTTTCGTATAAAGGCTCACTGGCTGACGCTATCAAGACGCTTCAGAAGCTGCGCGCGCTGGCGGCCAGCACGCAACTTACTAGCCAGGCGACGTTCGTGCAGGTGGATAAGGCCATGAGCTTGGTGGAGCAGCTGGGTGTGGTGCTGATGGCGGCAGTCTTCATTCTCTATCCGAGCTGGGCACATGCTGGTGGGTGCGTGGTCAGCAGTTTGCGCACGAGCAAGAGTTTACTCGTCGGCAGGCATGTTTTGCTTGCGTCAACAGCGTCTTTGCGAACTGGAAGGTCGTCACTACATGTCGCGGATTTCCGTCGTCAAGATTGACACGACCTCGCATTCAGGCATGCTGAATAGCATAAGCATTTACTGTTGGGCAATCGTGGTGCTTGGGTGCCTGGCTGGCGATGTGTTGGTGCTGCCCTTGTGTGTTGAGATTTCTCGTTCGCCTTCCAGGCTCGCTCCATACGGGCGGCCTTCGTTCAGACCCTTTCCAACGTTGCCATCCGTCCTGTTGCATCCCGTGTACACAGCTCTCTCTACGTTTGCATGCTACCCGATTGATGGTGGCGAAGGACCGTTTCCTGAGACACAGCAGGTAAGCACCTTTCCACAATCATACAGGTGCAGGTGTGATTTCAGCCCTGGATAGCAAAATACGCTGTTAAGTTCTTTACCTTTCGACTGTCTGCGGAAAATCCACTTCACGCAACAGGGTTTTTAAACCATTTTGCAAGGCATAGGTAGTTTGCGATGAACATGTCACCTTGGGAGCTTTTCATGGCGAGCCTTTAGCGCTATGATGATGAAGGATTTCGTAAATGAATCTTGTTTCAAAGTCAGGAAGGAATGACTTACGTTACTATGGCGTATTACACGGCTGCTGATCCCTTCCTTGCTTGTTTAGGCGCAATGGCGCCACGGCTATTGGCTGCGCAACATGCAAGCGATGTGCTACAGCGGAGACCACCTGCATGTGTACGTTCCCATCGGGGTAGTGGCAGTTGTGGTCTTCTGCGTGCTGCCCCCGCTGGTGTCTTTCATATTCGTGTGGCGCGTGCGAGGACGCCTGGAAGATGCCCACGTGCGCAAGGTCTACGGCTTCCTCTACAAGCGCTACAAGTAAGCGGTTATTGTGTGGTTTTAAGCACTAGGCAAGCACACTGCGCCGTTGCACTGCCTGTTCCTTTATACCCTCTTGCCTTGAAATGATAAAATCTCATGAATTCACTTCAGCAAGATATTTTACCTGCTAAATGCGCTTGCCACAGGCGGCCCTGTTTGTTTACCTCCTACCCCAGTCTGCCTTGCAACCTTGCCTTGCAACCTCCGCCTGCTGTTCTCGCTTCAGGCCACGCTTCATCTGGTGGGAGACAGTGCTGCAGCTGGAGACGCTCATCCTGGTGTCTGTCGAGGTGCTGGGCCGCGGATTAAGTGTGTCGTACCAGGTACAGACCTGCAGCACACGTTTGATGCAGCTTGGAGATGGCAACATGAGCTCAAGTCAGATCATCCGTGGTTAGGGTGCATGGGTGCGAATGAGGCCCCTGTTTGTAGCGATCCCTGCACGTGCGCGCCATGGCAATGCCTTTACATTTTTTGGCAAATGTGTTTTCCATAGCTTCATTCGAACCAGTAGCGATTCGCTTCCTAAACTCTGCATGCCTCTTCATGTATCTTTGACAGGCTCTCCTGCTGCTTGCCGTGTTCACTGTCATTGCGCTCATCAACGTCAGCTGCGCTCCTCTCCTGTCGCGGCTGCTGGTGATCATGGAGTTCATGTCTCTGGGAACACTCAGCCTGACCATCACCCTCAGCCTGTACTTCACAGTTGGAGACGGGCTTAACCCCATCGCAGAGGTATGCCGCTTGTGTGGCAAGATATGCCTTTGTATGCATAGCTGTGCTGGTGCTTGGTAATGCTGCGCAAGAAAGCTCGCATGTGCCGATGCGTCTAAGTATTGCGAGGGCTCTGCATCCCATTGGCAATATCGGCCTTGCATGGCAGCGGGTGGTTGCTAACAGCCCAGGAGCACTGCTGGATGCAATGTGTGTTTCGTGTCTTGCCCTCAACGACGCGCTAACATGAGCGATGCCAAGATATGGCGCCCAGGCACCCCGAGGACGCCACTCGGCGACTTATGACTGACCGCTGACACTGCTGCATCTTGCTGCCGTTGCTGCTACTGCTGCTGCCTGCCACTGCTGCTGGTGCTGCTTGCCACCGCTGACACTACTGCCTCTGCTGCTGCTGCTGCCTGCCGCTACTGCTGGTGCTGCTGCCTGCAGAACACCTTGGCAATCCTAATCATTGCCCTCAACACCGCCCTCATGGGCCTTTTCATCTTCATCTCTGCACGGCACTTCTGGCCGCCCATCGTCCAGGCACTCACCGGCACAGCTCAGGTTATGCAGCAAAAGCTGGCCGTTATAAGCCTGACTCACGGTAACGTGAACCCGAGGGGCTCCGACTCAGGCGAGGCCCGCAGCAGCAGCTGCGGAGGTGACACCAAGCGGGTGGCACAGCCAGCTCTCCTTAACCGCCTCGCCTCTCACTGGCGTGGAGAGTCAGCCGCTGCCCCAGCAGGTGTCGCGGCATCGAGTAAGGAGGCCACGATGGGGCGATACAGGAATCATTCCGACGGGCTGGGCGATATCGGGAGCAGGGGCTGCCGAGCAGGCTCGGACTCACCTCCCGTGGGGACATCCGTAAGGGGCTTAGACATGGCGAGGGCGACCATATGCTTGCAAGACAGTTTAAACAGTAGCGCGCTAGATCCAACCTACGATGCGCCAAATACGGCCAAGCCAGGCCAAGTCTGGATTGCATTAGATGACGGAAAACGTTAGGTGGCTGTAGCAGCGTGGTGTACAGCCACTACAGTGGTGGAGCGGAATTCGGCCAGCACGGCTTGCAGAGGTTGCTTGGCTGGTGTTCAAGATCAATTCAGTTTGCGATTAATGGATTGACTGTACATGCATGTGCACATGACCATATTGGGGGTATATGACATGCGCTGCTGCCGCACGTATGTGTAGGTTTGTTTAAAGTCCATCTTCAGCGATCAGGATGGTCTATTGTGCGGCGTATGTGGCGGCCCCCAACTTAATGCAGTTTACATCATATGGGTAAAACATCGTGCATTTGAAGTTTTCCTGGAGCGGCATCTGGTTGGTTGAGGGTTGGTTATAACCGTCCACAAGGATGCAGAACATGCACGTATTACGAGTATATAAGAAGTTGCACATAAACCTGCTGGCCGCCTTCAAGCAAGCATCCCCGCATCAAGCATCGTGCATAACCTGCTACCTGTGTTGCGGCTGTATACATATCCTAATTTCACTTCATCTATCTTCAGCAGCAGCGGGATAGACCAGGTCATCTGTCCAGACTTTAAGGTAGAGCACTGTCTGTTGCGTGCATGCGTCCTGCCCGTATGTAAGGTCTAAGGCACATAAGGTTATGGCCCGCGTTATTGCAGGCAGACGCAACATGTATGTCCGGTTCCCTTAATGCAGTTTATGCACGAACCCCAATGACGAGTTGTAGTGAAGCTAGGTGCTGTTGGCATTCCGCCTTTTTTTCAGAGCTCATACCTTATAGGCAGCGGTGTATGGCGATGATGATGACTTACAGTTGTGTAGGACTTACAGTTGTTTGGTCGTGACATTTGTATAATGGCTAGCTTAGCCAGGCCCGTGGCCAGCCAGCTAACGGGCCTCATTTTGACTATGACTAGGTGTTCACAATTCATTCCATGTGTGTACGTGCGCGCCACATATGCGCGGGTTTCAGCGACGGTCCCGATCGCTGCTTCTGTCTGAGTAGCGTAAACTCCCGTCCCGTGCGTTCCCTGAAAGAAGCACCGAGCACGTCGGGTCTACCTTAACCGGAGACAGCGAATGTTGTGTGTGTTCGTTCCCGCGAATGAAGGGCGCAGGGAGATAGACGAGAAAAGTTGTTGTACGTTACTTTGCTTGCATGTGGAGTTCCTAGTTTCAGTGTACATGTAGTAGTGTCTACAATTGTGGGCCGGTTAGTAAATGAGGATGCAAGCACATATGTTGGGATTGCAGCCCTCAGTATTTGTGACGCGTCGCCATGCACTCAGGGGGACCAACCCTGCAGAGCACATGCGGAACAGGCATTCGAAGGCATGACGATGCGTATTGGCATGCACACGCATATTGCAACCAGGCCAAGCCAGCCGCGGGGTGTTTGCTGTTTTTGATGGGGTGTTACACTGTGGGCGGCTCGTCCCGAGAAACGACGAGCACCGGGGGCCCTGACCGGGCCGGAACACAGTGCAAGGGCGATCGCGCGGCTACGACCGTGTGTTCGTCCGCGGCCCCTCACTCACGCCAACCGGGGCGCTCTCCCAGCCCCTGGCTAAGGCAACACAGTGGCGCAGAAGGCTGCGAATTGAACTACGCGAGAGCCGCGCGAGAGGTGCCACACCACCTCTGGGAACCCTAAACAGGCTACACAGGTGGTTGTTGTTGTTTCTGCAACAAGGCGTACTATCGTAGCTGTCCCATACGAATCTGCATGCATACCTCGTAACACACTGTACAGGCGTTGCGCTTGCGATTACTCCGTGGATGCAAGGTGGTTGACGTAGCGTTCGGTGCTGAGAAATGGCTGTACGACTTGTGCACACGTTTGTTGCGTGTGTCTGTGTGTGTGTATGCGTGCAGCCATGTTGTCATGTATGGAGTAAGTTGAGCGATGGATGAGTCGCTGGCAAAGCTGCGGGAATGCAGCAGCAGCCCTGAGGAAGTTTGCTCACTGTTATCCTAGAAGCGGGTCTCACTGTTATTCCTAGAAGCCAATACGCGTTGAGTTTATAACATCCTCTGTGCTGGGTAAAGCAGGCCATTTCTACCTCCTGGGCATACCGGCAGGTCGTGTGCCATTGCTTGTCCTTCGTCGCCAGATCTGGCATTTCCGACTTCATCGCAGCCCAGCATTAAACTTGGTTTACCAGTGCTGGCGAACCTTGCAAGACCAAAGAGGAAGCACTCATAATGCATCGACTTAGGCCGCGAGGCCTCCCTCACTACAATACGAGCAGCTGACCAGCAGCTGAAGGAAGTGGATGGAGCATCCAAGTGCGACTGGCTATAGGAAAATAGTTTACTCAGGACTGCGTATGCTGCCGATGCTGTGCATGTTAGTTAGCTGCTTGGACGTGCGGGATGTCGTGTGCGATCAAATACCGTAGTGCTACTTATAGTTCGTGCTACAATAATTCGGGAGGCACCACGAATATGTAGCACGTACAAATTCTAAGGTATCCCAAGGGATCGCAGCCCCGAAATATCTTACCCTCCGAAGCCGGTCGATCAAGCGAAGTTTGATAAAATATAGTTGGTTATTAGGTCGTTGCCACTGGTACTGAACTGTACGATCGGTCCAGAATTTGCTAGGGCGTTTCCAAAGTGCGAAAATGGTGAGAGACCATGAGCCTAAGGGTTCCCGGTGGAGGGAGACTGACTGGAAGCTGCAGTTTGAAAAGCGCCGAAACTTTGGAAGGGGCCCCGAAATTTGTATCATGCCCGCAAAATCTGGTCCGGCCTTCCCCGAAATTCAAAGAGCACGTACAAATTTCAGAAAGTTTTTTGATCCCTCCCCGAACAAAGCAATCACGAACTATAAGTAGCACTACGGTAGCACTGCAAGGTATTGAACTTGCGAGAGCTACTTTAATATGTTGTTTGCTGGCTGTGCAAGACATTCACAACCCGCATGAGAGTATCCCAATGATCCTTGAGAGTATAGCGCTTCCGAAAGAAGGCGGGATGGGGCCCCCGGTAGGCAAAACTGTACACGCAGGGCATCGGAAAGTGTGTTTAGTAGCTTTTGACTCCAGCACTGCTTACCGCCAAACTTACCGCCAAACAACAGATGAATAGAATTATTACAGGCAAACCTAAGCGGCAGAACCGAATTCGCGTTACGACAGCAGTAGTCTCCCTGCAAGGACTACTGTGCGCAATTGCGTACAGTAGTCGCCCGTGCTTACATTCGATTTCCTCAAACCAACAAACCCAAACACACTTCAAAGAAAAAATATTCACCTGAATACCTGTGACCCTTCTTCTGGTTATGCGAGGATTGCAGCATCAAGGGCGAAGCGGATCAGAGGCTAGGCTCGTCCAATGCCCTAAAGGAGCAACGTGCCCCGCCATTTAGCCAGAAAGCTTCATGGGGACGAGCCTTAACCAATGCTTTAGGATGAACGAAGTACATTTTGGCATTTGAAGCAGGAGAACATGGCGGTTCCCGTACGACAACAATATCCGTCACGGTGGCACCCTAATTCGTTCAGCATATGACATAATTCATTACTGAGTGTCTTAATTTAATGGCAGCTCTTGAAACGCATAACGCCCATGACATAAACTAGATCGCAAGCCACCTCTTAGTCCTTTGAGCCGCAAAAGTACAATGTTAGCAAGGTTGCATGCTAATTTATTATGAGTCTGTAAGCCTACCTTATGGCAATCAAAGATCGATTATTGATGCAGCGCCTGTTGGCGACTACCCAGCCTACGCCATTTGTGTACGTCTTGTGTAGCTCGTCAACAAGTTAGCAGTTTGAGTATACTGCCTTAGTGTGCTCATAGACCTGATCATCCTGGCAGCTGGAGCTATTGCGAACGCAGCGCCCGTGCTCATGCTGGAAGAGTAACTGTGTATCTTTTCCGAGATATGTGGAGATTCTTCTTTCTACTCGCTGTATTCTCTGGTATGAGAACCTGTGAAATTACTGAATAGGAAATGCATTTTCGGTTTCAGTGTCTTTATGTGACCAAAACTGACAGGTCCTCTATCTTGTTTCTTTTGTCCTATTCATGGCTATAGATTCAGCTTGCCATTTTGCAAGTGACTTAATGCCGCGATAGGTAGTTGTTGTTAGGATACCTAGACTCCTTTCCTGCTTAAAGTGGCGAGTTTACTTACAGTAGCAAAAGGAAATAGCGTTATTAATTCCAACAATTTATGGGAACAAGGCAAAACCATTTTCAACCCCAACGACAATGCCGCTGCATGCTATGCAGCAGCCTAGCGAACATACGCATTGTATAACCTGGAATATTAATAAACGCTTTCCACTGATGAATCGCTCGTCTTTCTGCGATTTTGCCCTGTCTGGCCCACATGCTCCTTCCTACGGCGGTCGCAGCAATAGCCCAAGTGCACCAACTCAGCAACGCCCAGACACAACCCACGCATACGTGTCGCGTCATTCTCCGGGGAACTCCTGGTTCTGCGGGGGACCCAATTTCCTTGGACGAATTCAGTCTTAACTGCTGGACAGGTGACCAGGCGGGTCCTAACACCACACAGCACACACCACACAGCAGCACGGATACACCCGTGAGGGTTCAACTTGGCAAGGAGTTGCTCGAGTTTCTGGGCCAGAAAACATCTGACCTGCTGGGCGTCAGCAGCGACTGGAGTGCACGTCCCCTTACACCCGTCTCAAGGGATGGTAGCCCTGCTGATGATGGCTATGAGCTGTCACGCTCTGAGGACTGGGGCCTCGACATCATCAATGTGCCTCACCTAAAGCTCGTGGATAGTGTGATATCAGGCGTTCCATTATCCGATGTCGCCCCCCTGTTGCAATGCCTGAACTGCAGCCGTCTGACAGCACAGAATGTGACCATAAAAGCACTGCAACGTCCGTCCAATAAAGCACCATTTGGTGCGGTCCGTATCACTGGGCTGCAAGACGCCATTCTTGAGGGTATTGAGTGCTCTAATATTCGAGATGCAATGGGTTGGGCTTGTATTTTAATACAGGCGCAGGCCAAGTCCTCTATCATTGTACGGGACAGCTCATTCTTAAGTAACTCCGTCAAGAGGTACTACCTCCATGACTTCCTACGCTCATCAGACAGCGGACTGCCCCCATTTCCAGAGCTACAATATTCTTCACCGCCTACAGCAGGCGCCAACCTGAGCAGCACCAGCATGTCAGCAGTGCCAGTGCTAAGGCACGCACTCATCTGCAAGACTGATGGTGGCTATGCCCTTCACGATGACGACGATCCTCAAATTGATGGCTATGGATCGGTCCTTATCGTCTATGACAGGGATGACAATTTGTGTGGCACACAGCATCCCCTGGATGATGCTATGAATGCCACGGTCTTGGTGGAGCGGACCACCATTAGCCACAACATGGGAGCATGCGGTGCGGGCATTGCTGTGCAGAGCCCGTCCTTTCCTCAGATGGTGAGCTACGCATCCTGTTTGCATGCATCATATGATGGCATATGCCTTACGGCAAATTATTCACTACTACAGTAGCATGTTTTGCTAGCCAACAAAGTGAGTGTTTCCTCTATTAGTGGCATGATACTCTATTTGTGCGCCAGAATGAGGTTCAGTTATAGCTATGCAAGTGGTTTGCGATGCTCATATTGATTTGCTTATCATTAGCCCCGTCCAGGGCTGTAGCAGTCGCTCACCTGGCGGGTCGACTGGTATACGACTAGCGCTCCCGCTGCAGTTCTTATCCCCGCCCACCATTGCTATTTTGCCCTTGGCTAAATATGCTGCTCTCAACCTTGCAGGTTGGATGTCTCAGTAATCGCCACGTGCAGCTCACGTTTGTGAGCAGCATCATAATGTACAACGAAGCTGATCAGCTTGACGGGGGGGGTGGAGGTGGCCTTTACTTTCGTGACAGCTGGGGTGGAACAGTTCACCTGACCATTAGGAATGAGTCAATCCTGTCATCCAATCGTGCTTGTTGTGGTGTGGGGGGCGCAGCAGCACTTCAGAGCGACAGCATCGGGGATGTAATGTTTGTCAACACACAGGTGTCCAACAACACAGGGGACAGAGGTGGCGGCTTGTATCTAGGCGAGTTTGTCAATCTCTCTGGTCTTCTTGTCTACAATAGCACCTTCTCCAATAACCATGCACTCTACTTAGGAGGGGCCATTTATGTCGAACCCAAAGAGGCTTCCAACGGAGTCATTAAAGACATTCGGTTTGACGGTGGCAGCATATTGCATGGTAACAGTGCATATGAACAAGGTGGAGCCATCTATGTCCGGTTCCGTGGTAACACTGCAACACCCGAACTCACAAGGTTGGTCGTGGATGGGGCCAGCCAGATGTCTGAGAATCAAGCCAAGAATGGAGGAGCCATATGTATACAAGGCTACAATGCTGCTGTCACCGTTAACGAGGTGTTGGTCACCGGTGGCAGCGAGCTTGCTGGCAACCTTGCTAACAATGGGGATGGTGGCGCCATTTACTTGAGCTTTCAAGGGGAGCTGTCCAACTTCACCATCATGGGTGCCAGCAGGTTTTCACGGAACACGGCTAACTGCACTAAAACCGATTGCACCTCTTCCAGGGGTGGAGCAATATACCTCAGTGCTGGCAAGGTTAAGCATCCCGTGTTGATCACAGGTGGTGCATCTATCCTGAGTAATTCAGCTAAGGATGCGGGTGGAGCTATATACATGGACAACGGGGACCACAGCACGGGGTTAGTGGTTTCTGGCGGAAGTAATATATCGTGCAACATGGCTGGGCCTACAGGCGGGGCTATACACATTTATACGGCATCATCTTGGGCAGGCGCAAGTTACCTATTGCAGTTTGACGCAGGTGCAGTAGCATCATACAACACAGCTCAGACTTCTGGCGGTTTTTTGTACATGTTCGGGCATGCTGCTATGGAAGTAAATTTGATTGTAAATAGCTGCAATTTTATTCAGAATACAGCTGTACAGGGTTCCGGTGGGGCAGTCTACATGCTACAGATGCAGTTCCTTAATGTTGCTATCGATGGGGGGAGCACCATAGCTCTCAATACTGCCAAACGGCAAGGCGGCGCCTTCAGCCTTGATGCCTCCAGAATCGACCTTGATATTACGGGTGCATCCAGTATTTCCGACAACTTGGCTGTGGGAGATGGCGGTGGAATATATTTGACTGCAGAGAGCACAGACATTCACGTTCATGGATCCATGCTATCTAACAATAAGGCAACCAGCGGCAATGGAGGTGCAATGTCAGCCGAGGTGAGGACCTGGGAATTTCAAAAGGGGCATTCGCCTGGATCAATCAAAATATACACCTACCAACGCGCGCTGGGGGGATGGAAACACAAATGTGAATCCCACGTTTCAACGTGTGTGGACATGGCGAGAGCATTCACGCAGATTTTGCTTTCTGATGCTTGGTTGGTGATGCCTACGTGGGTTCACGAATCTGTACGAGATGGGTGCATGGGTGCTCTTCCCCTAAAGGGGAACTTTGGTGTGTTCTTCCCCTTTAGGGGAACCCCTTCTTCATCCCACCACAAGGGTTCCAAGCAGCCCAGCTAGGAACTCTGGCGGGGTCAACATGATGGTTCTACGGGGTGCCATGCGTCTGTACAACAGGGCACCTATTATAGTGTAGGAATATCCTACAGCGTTTTTTTGGGGAATATATTCCGAATTCGGAATGAAAAATTGTTCGCGGTCCTGAAATTAAGAATAAATAATGTTCCGACCGTACAAGTTCATTCCTCCTGCCAAAAATGGACTGTTTATGCAAAAGCCGCTAGAATCTTACAGGAGACATACATGTTAACCATATCATAGTTCTTTAACGCCATGGATACTGCTAGGAAGGTCACGCCCGAAAGTCAACGAGGAATCGGACTGCTTCTGACCGGACCAAACGCTGCAAAATGTTCGGACCCGAAGCTCCCAAAACGCGGAAGGCCATTAAAGAAGATATTAAACTTCGCTGAAGCCATTAGCGACGTTGATGAACACGGCCTAGAGGTCGCAGGAAATGTGGACGCAATGCTGCAGCCAGCCGACGACAATGACGCCACTCCGGTTGTCAACAGCGAGCGGGCCAAACGTCAACGTTCTTCATATGGAGACAGTCGCGATGTGCCAGGAAACACGCGGTTCATTGCTGCTATGCATCACTACTTTTGCAACCTGGAAAGTCGTATAATGTTACCTTTCAACGTGATGGAAAATGAACGACGCGTGAACGAACTCTATTTGATCAGTGCTTGAGTAGGGGCTAACTGGTTTGTGTTTGCTTGGGCTCTGCAACAACAGTCACCCGTGCAGCGTCCAAGCGCGCGCCGCTTCCTGGCGTGCAAGAGACATCTCTATGGAGAGATTGTGGTGTGCGCGTGTTGCGATATTCTCCAAACCCTGTGTTTGTACGAACAAAACAAAAACTCATCGGGGGGGTCTGGGGGGGCCGTAGCCCTCCCCCAGCACCTTACAGATTCGGAATACTTATATTCCCGGCGACTAAAAACCTATTCCTCCGTTCGGACTGGAAAATTGACGGGCAAAAATGGAGATAAAACACTGAATATATCCTCTATATGTGCATACATCTTTCCTGACTGTTCTCCATCGCAAGGCAGGAACTGTAGGGGCTGTGTGCTCAAAAGCTCAAAATTAAGGAAGGTTGCCTCTTATTGGAATTGGAATAACGTCGATCACTATTTTCACGCCTCCCTACCTCTTATGCCATCGCGCGATTTACAGACCATGGGTTTGCCATCCAAACCCCGAATCTATGTACTTATCCATTTGAAGGCACCATATATTTACCATGGCGCGATCGATAAACCACAAAGCATTTACAGACGGAAATGATCAAAAACGTCATTAATGTGTATGTGTATGTGTGTGTTTGGGCTGTCTGAAACAGACAGATATCGATAACATAAATACGCACAACATAAATTACCACTGTGTATTGGTGCTTCAACGTTTCACACGGCTTTGGAAATGGTAACCTGGAATTTTTTCGGCGACCTTGTAATTATGGTGTGGGACCAGGCCAAAGTAATTCAGTTGTGACATACATGTTTGTGTCGCTCCAGAGCCCATCCACCCGCGTCTCTGCCCGTAACGGCCCGCACCGGTAGTCCGCTCGTTCAGCATTCAATGAACGAGCAAAGCACCAACGCGTGAGCGATAAAGAACATCACAAAATTTAAACATTTAACTTTTAAACCGAGTGCTCGGTGTACAGAATATTGGTCTACGCAATTTGGTGTCATGCAAGTTTCCATGCCTAAGGGCTTTTTCCACGGACACAACATTGGTGACCTCACACAAATTGTGTAGCACCAATATATCGTGGCAGTACGATATATCCTTTCGCTGGGACCCTCCTTAGCCAGATACTGACAACTTCAGCTGATCATCCGCTACTACCACATCCTTCATAGTCAGATCCACCTGAAACCCGACAGAAAGCCCCTGCATAAGCTGTATACTGGGCAGTCCAAATTTGGACATTTAAATGTACAATTGGAGCTCGCAAAACTTGCGGATCCTCTGCTTCTGCGCGATTCCTCACCAGCTCTGTTTGCTTTTAGCGTCCATCAATATACACGAAAACGCATTAGCAGCCGATTGCATATCCAAAGTTATAAACGGCATTCAGTAACGAGCTTGGCCCTGCTGCTCATTATTTCCCCCCCATTAGTTACGGTGTTTGGTTAACACTTCACCCATCTTTATGTTCCGCTCATGTATTCTGTAGGGTCTCAATAGCATGACCGTGACTGGACGCGGCCGGCTTGAGAACAACACTGCTGGTGGTTCTGGTGGTGCAGTAATGCTGAAATCTTCAATTGATGGGTTGACGCACACTGTGAAATGGGATAACTGCAGTACTCTTATCAACAACAGTGCAAGCATGAAGGGGGGTGGACTATTTGCGGAGGTAACTACAGTCAAAGTCTATGTCGTTGGAGAAAGCCAATGGATTGGCAACACAGCACTAGACAATGGTGGAGCTCTGTACATTGAAGCTAACAATTCACTTGTTGACGTTAACGAAGTCAGCTCTCTCAGGGTCGATGAAAGAAGCCAGCTGAGCAGGAACGGTGCCAAGAGTGGCGGTGCAATTTACGTTAATGGATTTGCCGACGTACAGGTTGGCGAGGGAAGTGACATCTCCCTCAACACCGCGAAGTACGACGGTGGAGCAGTCTTCCTGGCCCAACTCCCTTCCAAGATCCTCGTGCAGTCCAGCAGTGTGTCCAACAACACGGCTCATCGCGGTTCAGGGGGAGCTTTCTATGTAGGGACGGTGAGTGCTGGGTGCCTGGACTGAAACTTTGTTTGCATCCCGTCCAAAGCCAATGTGTGATTAGTAGGATGTTAATCCATCCCGGTACGAGTTACTGGGCCCTTACTTCACCGGACTCCACTTATGAAGGTGCACTCATCATCATGGGGCTGTGCAGTGCGTCCAGGTCTACACCATCCAGCATTTTGATTGTATGCTTGTGTGTAACATGGTCGTGCAGTGCGTTCCCCGTACCTGCAATTTTTATTTTGATTGCACCATTTTGATTTGCTGCGCAGATGGAACCAGTGTTCCAGCCCCACGCCACTGAGCCAAGCTGTGTTCTGCCGGGAGCTGTGATGAATGCCAGCCTCAATAACGCCACCTTTGTCGGGAATGCTGCTGGAGTCACAGATGGTGGAGCTTTTTATCTTAAACCGCATGAAACCTGCGTCTCCAGCACTTTCATATCACTCCGTATCAATGGTTCCCACTTTGTCGAGAATGCAGCGTTAGGTGCTGGTGGAGCTGTTATGCTGCGTGATGCTTCAAATGCGAGATTCGTGATCGACATTGCGAACAGCGACTTCAGGGATAACACAGCGGGAACAGTTACTGGGGACTTCACAAGTTCAGCAAACTTTGGCGGTGCACTTGTGGTATGGCGGGAACCCAGTGATGCCATTGGAAACTTTACGGAGTCCTGCCAGCTGACAGTTAATGATACCTCCTTCGACGGGAATAGCTGCGATGGGGGAACCGGAGGTGCTGTTATGCTTATTTCCTGTGCCTCACGATTTTCCAGATGCAACTTCACCGATAACCATGCAACACACAGTGGTGGGGCGATGGGTGCGCTACAGATGGCACGCTCTACCGCTACTCTGGGGCTTGTGACGACCTCTACAGCTGCCAGTGTTGCTGGCCTCTCCCAGCAGGAGCAGAGCATACCGCGAGACCAACGGAGGCTCCTAGTCAGTGACGGCTCCAACATGCAGCATGAACGCATATCATTAGGGCGCGTGATGCGCGAAAGAGATGCCATAAAGGATAGCAAGCTTTGGGGTCGCCATCGCAAGCTGTCGGCTGAAACAGGCAGTTGCAGCGTCGGCAGTCACAGCAACGCAAAATGGCACACCAGTCTGACAGCTTGCAACTTCTTCAACAACACTGCTGACCGAGAGTACGGAGGGGCCATCTATCTATATGCATCAATTGAGGATGCCCAGATTTTCATTTCTGGCTGTGCATTCGAGGTGGGTCTTAGGAGTTTAGTTGAACCCCATCCGATTATCCCCTTATCATATCTTTTGTACAAGCATCCTTCTGCCTGAGGGAACGCACGGCGGATTATTTCTTTTACACTCGAACCTCATACTATTGCATGTCATAGAGCATGTAGAGATGAGCATGCCTGGTCGCTACCTAATCGCTACCTAAATTGTTTGGCAGGAAAACAAGGCTGTGCAGCAACTTGCTGGTGCCGCGTTTCTGGCAGCACGAGGCGCCAACACTGGTGTTCAGGTGTCTGATTCTTCATTTAACAACAATGCTGCTAAGCTGAATAGTGCCGGAGCTGTGTACGCGTTGATAGGCCCAGGCGCTTATGCGACACTGGTGAACCTGAGCATGACGAGTAATCAGGCAGCCGTGTCGGCTGGAGCTGGTGTACTGGATGTGCGAAGCAACGGATCACTCTGCATGCAGAATGCTTTCTTTGACCAAAACCGTGCGCTTAGCGGTGATGGCGGCGCACTTTTGCTAAAGCTCCAAATGGAATCACGTGCTTCCTTCAATAACTGCACTTTCAATGACAACAAAGCAGCTGGCAATGGTGGTGCTATGCTAATGGATGGTAACTGCAGCTCGACACTATCGGTGGAGAATAGTGTCATGATGCGCAACCAGGCAGGTTTGTCAGGTGGGGGGATATATATTCTCTACAGCTCGAAAACTGGCGAAACAGTGCGTGGGAGTGCATTTGGTTCCTCTCCAATACCTACTTATGCGGCTTCAGCAAGTTCCTGTCCCGACATTTCAGATCCTGCTCGGCGGGCGTCAGTGCAGTCTGTTTTGTTGGTGGGCAATACTGCTGGGCAACACGGTGGTGCGATATTTCTTGGATCCAATAGCGCCTTGACAATCTTAAACTCGACGATGCTTGGCAACACAGCCTGTGAAGGGGGGGGCTCCATGTCGGCGCAGAACTGCTCTTCATTAGTGCTGAGCCATAGCACCATACAGAACAGCAGTACTTCTGGCTCTGGTGGCGGGTTCTGGGCATATGGCTGCAGGCGGCTCCTCTTGGAGTATGTGAATATTACAGGCAACATTGCTAGGGTTTCTGGCGGCGGTCTAACCTTTTCGGGTCCCACGGATGACATAGCAGCAGAGGGGCTAACTGGGAACACTGCCTTAGGTGGTGAAACGCCTCAATACACGAGCATGATTGTCCATAGAGCCCGGGTCCATGATAATGCAGCTGCCCTGTCGAGTGACACGCTAGAGGGTTGCCAAGGGAAGGATTCCTTCCAGCCCGGAGAAGAAGGAAAGGGTGGTGGTTTCTTTATAACTGGCAAGGTTGCCGGCGTGCTGAGCCTCGTGAACTTGGAGCAGTCGAATAACGCATCCCTGGGGAGCGCTATCGCATCCACGCAACGCTGCAAGCAAGCAAACATGTCAACTGCTTCAGTTAAAGCGACGGTAAGCCCTAAGAGACTCACACAGGAAATCCTATACGAAGAGTATAGTACACATTGCCAATGCTGACGTCTCACTGCATGACATGCATGGCGTGCAAGTTATGTATTAGGCCTGGCACTGCGCAGTTATATTGGCGGTGAGCAAAAATTAGTGGCCTCTATATTCTGCAGATTATTGACCAAGATTGGATTAACGAATGGAAACAGTCCTGGGACTTGCTGGACGAGCTGGCTGCTTCGCGGTGCTGGCTGCTCCAGTTGAGTGATACCTTGTTACCTTCGCTGATACCAAGCAAGGAAAACAGTACATCGATCTCTTCACAACAGGTACGAATGCATGAATGGCGTAAGTGCTGGTGGCGTTTGCATGGGCTGAAGCATAAGGTTATTCACGGTGGTATTTCACGGAACACTATATTACTCTTCAATTCTGTCGACCGGAACAAAATTGCAGTCAGCTGGCTGCAGGCATGGAAAAACTGCTTGCTGGTTCATTTACACGTGTATAGTGCTCTCCCATTTTTACACTACGGTTGCAACCGACGCTATGGTGGCGCACCTGTGCTCCCCTAGTGCACCATTAGTGAAGAGTAGAGGCCGAGGGTAATGTATGGTGCGCTTTACGGTCGTGCAGTAGAACTCACCCTTTGCAGTCCTGAAGCAGTTGCTGTCCTGAAGCTTGCTGCCACGGAGCACTTGCTGTATTGGAGCACTTGCTGTATTGGAGCACTTGCTGTATTGGAGCACTTGCTTTCATGAAGCAGTTGCAGTCCTGAAAACGGCATTCTTGTCGAGTACGGTCCAGCATGGTGTATATACCTCGCAAAAAAGTATACCTCGCAAATTATAGATTGAATTCTGTTGTCACGGAGTATGTTGCGTTACAACGATTTGAGTGGAAGTCTTTTAAATCAGCCACTACGGGCACTAAAGAAAAGCGGAAGGCACCTTAAGACACGGCCACACTAAAATTATTAAGTTGTAAGGCACCATTTGGCCATTAATTTTAGTGGCTAAACAATTATGAATACCTTTAATGAAGTATGTGTGTCTAGTACTTCACGTCACTTACATAATGAGACTTATTGCACCATGAGGTTAACACTACGGGTGAGTTGGGAGGCACGTAGGTCACAGTCTTTAAGTTGCCGACCCCTGTATCACAAATGACAGGATTTTAAAATAATCACTGCAGAGGTTGTGGATCACCATGATTTCAGCTCATAGAAAAGTGCTCCTTAGCCAAAGCATGTGGCAGGCGTCGAGAAAGCAGGGCAGGCTGCTAGCTAGTTGGATCAAACCAATACCCGTTATTGCCACAAAGGCTTGCTTTATTCTTTCAACGATATCCCCAACGATATCATTCCGCTTACAAGTGTTCCACAAGACTACTGGCATAGCAATCAACTTCCTCGTCCGGGTGCATTTCCTCCAATGCACGGTTGGCGTTCTCATCTGACCTTGTACGGTGGAGTGTGTGCATGGGAAATTACAGCGGCCTATCTCGCTAATGGGTGCTAAGCGTTAGTGGGTAGGTTAGGTTAACTTTCTGTTAACCCGTTTGTGGTGCAACTCATCGACCGCGGCGCCCCGCAAGTCTGTCCTATGCGAATGCATAGATGGCCTTGTCATTTGCATCGCTTGAGGCATTGTGTGGCGTTGAGATCCTCAACCTTACTCGCAACATGTAATGGCATGGATTACAAAGTTGCGATAACCACCAAGTCTGACCCTTAATGATGGCATTGCCTTGCTACCTGTGCACATGGCCCTCCCTGGCAGAACCGTGTTCTTTGGGTGGAGGATTTCCTGCCATCGGCTTTGCATGTGTCGTACACCGCGAAGTGGAATTGCACAGACAAGATCTATTATGTCTCAGAAGATGAAGCTGTTTCCCTGAATGAAATCCGTCTCTCCATCAAGGACCGTCTTTCTGAGGCAATCAGGCGGCGTGCTAACCTCACCGATTTTACTCCTGGCCTGGTGCTTAACATGGGCGCTCTGAATGGTACAATCCCTGATGCAGCTGCTGTAGCCGCGGGTCTGTCACAGAGGTGGTACAAGTGGCTTCTCGGCCGGCTCTGCATGTGCAACCTGCCACAAGGCGAGGACCCGCAAGCAGCCATGCGACAACAATCATACCTTGCGCTTCCAGCAGCGTACATGGGTTTGCGTCTTTTGGACACGGACTTGGTGTACAGTCAGCGTCTACAGCTCCAGCCCGGGCTCGATATCAACCTCACTGCACAATTGTACGACATGTCAGGCCAGGCCGTTACTTGGGGTAGGTTTCTAATTTACAAATGGAGAACTTGTACATTGATTATGTTATCTTTCATGCACGCTCCCGGCAGGATTATTTTTTGGCATGAACTGTACGCATTATTAGGGAGGCACACCGCGATATGTGCAAATGTGTATCCACCATGCGAGCAGTCCTTGTTCCATGGTGACCGTCCTGCCCTCTAGGTTCCCGGTTGGGGCTGATAGCTGTACCAACAGATTGTCGTTAGTGTGTTAAAGCTGGCCGATAGAACTAAGGAGGCTGCCTTCTTCTTGTGCACTCTGTGCAGACCTTGCACCATCGACCATTACCCTGGCACTTCGGCCTCGGACTTCACCTGACGCCACCTACAATGCGACGGTCGCTGATGGGAGCGCACCTTGGCTCGATAATGACGTGGCCAACCTGGACGCCGGCCTGAATAGGAGCTTGACAGTGCCTGTGGTGAACGGGTCAGCGACATGGGAAGGCGTCAAGACCTTTGCATGGCCCGGCTATTACAGTCTCATTCTCCAGTTGACGACGAATTATTCATCGTTTGCCATGGTAGGGTTTTTCGAAAAGCTGACAATCTACCGAGGGCGTCCCTATCGTTGGGATGTATTAACACTACTAAACACGGCTGCCATCCATAACTTCGCTTAGAGGCTACACTCGCTTCACTTCTGCCGCATCTTAGCTGCAAATATTAACACTGCTAAACACTTAAAGGTTGCATGACTTGCCGTGGCTGACACTGGCCAGGGGCTGCTGATGAGCCCCAACGAACAAGACCGAAGAAGCCCTCCCCCTAGGGGAAAGGGGCGGGTCGTGGGGCACTCAAATTATGTATGTAGAGGTCCTAAATCGAGAGTGCTGGGACAGGGTTCCTTCTCCTTGGGCGATGTGTAGGATGGGGGGGACACACCTGCTTTGGGCACATAATCTAGTTAGCACAATGCCAGTTACGGACTTTCTAGGTGCTTGGGTTAAATATCAGAACACATCAAGGGAAACAGAAATATTTGAAGAGGTCTGAGAGCACATGGAGTAAAGGAGTGTGCTTCCCAAGCATAGGCCTATGCAAGCTTTGTTATCCTTACCTTTGTTATCCTTACGCTGTGCCCACACTGCCCGCATTACCAATACCGCACTGCAGGTTGCACCGTTGGAGATGGAAGTTGAGGTGCTGCCTTGCGGGGTCGGGCAGACACTTGACCTTTCGCACAGCAGTTTAAAAACATCATATACAGGCTGCAGAGCTTGCCCGTCTGACCAGTACGGATTGTGGCAGGACGATCGACCATTACTCACTGACATTCAGCCACGTCCGGGGAATGCGACTGCAGCAGATGACTCCAAGCGCCAGAGCAGTTATTCCGAATCCATGAACATAACCCTTCGTGCGCAAAACTCAGCATGCATGTTATGTCCCGCAAACGCGCTCTGCCTGGGTGGAGCTGTGATAGTGCCGGCACCAGGTATGTCTCGCAATCGTCAGCGGAACTGACGGCTGCCCCTTGTGGATTAGCCACACCAAGCGAGCGGCAATGATAAACCCGGCCTTTTTAGCTATGATAACCCCGCGTGCCCGCATGAAAGCCAAACTACCGTCCATGGGGGGCCCCGGCTTTTACGGACACCCCTGCACGTGCATGTGGAACCTGTACCTTGTAACTTCCGCAAAAAAAGTCTGCTGGGGAAGGACGCTGCCGACGTGGTACCTTGTTTTGCATGTGTTGACTTCCATCGTTAGGTTTTTTGCCAATTTGTTTGCACACTTGTTTTAATAACTTAGGGTTTTAGGGGATTTTTTATATATCAACCAAAGAATATGATCTGGGTGCAAGTGGTCAAACATGGGCAATCGGCAAGCCTCCTCTGAAGCTGATTCTGGGGTCAGAACTTCTTACTTGAAGCTAGCGAATTGTTTTCTCGCTAAGCAAGCATTATTCAGGTACATAGGTTTCCACCTGCAGGTGACTACTTAAATGCCGTTCTGATATATACACAGTCCCCTTGCTGCTTACACACTTGCTGCAAGTAAAGCACCCAGTCTAGCCTACATGTTCCAATCCTTGATCCCCATGCTGTGCATTGGGCTCCCCTTTCCCGTCTCCTAACAGGCTACTGGCACAGTGCGGCCAACTCCACCAAGATCCACACTTGCCCCTATCCTTCGGCGTGTAACGTGGATGGTGATAAGAGGACATTTCCGGAGTGGATCTACAGCATGGTTGGCGCGCGGGACTATCGGACAGGGCTGCTGTCTTGGTGCCAGCTGGCCTGGTACAGCAGTGTGGTGCCTGGGGCGGCGGTGCTAAGTGCGCAAATGCCAGGACCACCACCGGAAGTGACTGGTGATGGCCTGCAGCCTCTGGAGGTGCTTGCTAATAATACCGCTGTCCTGCTGACCAACATTATTGCCTTGCGTCGTCAAAATGACACTGCTCCCGACATCAGCCTCCCACGGTGTCTTGTTTCTGGATTACCATCCGGACACCTAGACTCCTACATGCAGCAGCAGTGTGCGGAGGGCTACACAGGCAATCTATGTGCAGCTTGCATTGAAGGGTATTACGTTGATACGGTGAGCGACGGTATTGATTTTTTGGGCCAATCCTTTCAGGACACTTGGCGGGGCAGCTGCGAAGCACACGAGCTGGTTCTACCTGGTGCATATCTAATCTTCTTGCCATTTCTTTGCCTAAAAATAACTTTGTCAATGTGGAGGACGGGCGTGACCAGGGAACGTCCTTCTCTTAACGTGGTCATTTTGCCAAATTTGACAGTAACGGTAGCGCACCGACCATCGCGCAACGTAAGATTGGCTTTAAAGTGGACCAGCTTAGTGACTAGTTGACACCGATCCTATCTATCCGAGACAGTCCTGGAGGGGACAGGTGTCGGTGCTGCATTGCAAACAAGGACAAAAGAGCCTCTGTGACTGACTGCATCTTCTTTCTTCGTGCATGTAAGCCGTAAATGGCGGCTGCCCACTCCTACGCATCCCACGCATCGATGGATTAATCATTAATGCGCCCTCAAGGCCCGCCACGAAATACCTGTATCCCCTATTCTTGTACTGCAGGATTTCAATTGCAAACGCTGCCCCAGTGTAGCCCGGACGGTCGGACTTGGGTTAATCTCATTCTTCGGCAGCGTTGCCTTAATCTTGTTCACTACAATTACAAACTTTTCGGATGGCTTCGGAGAGAAAACCAACGGACAGCAGCACGCAAACGTGCTGCCGGGCAAAGGTGGAGATCGGGTTGAAATCGGCGACGTCGTCAAGGTAGGATTTTTTTATGCAAATATCAAGCAAAATCATTGCACATGGAAGTTGCTTATAGTCCAATATTTTCTAAGGCGCACTTGGTTGGCGCATTATGCCCCAGAACTGTCACAGATCCGAAAGCCCGATCGTCAGATCCGTCTGTATGCAAAATGGAATTGCGTCTACAGATCATCTATTTTATGCCATGGCACAATTAATAGATCATTAAGTATTTTGCAGACGCGTGCACCATGCACAGGCCGAAATTCATGATGCTATGCCTTGCTATGCCTGCCCCTTGCATGCGTGCACAGGTCATTGTGTTGCACCTCCAGTACCTCATCATTGGTAAGTGGCACCAGCTAATGGAGGTTGGCAAAGTGAAAATGTGCGGTATGAAAAGGCGTTCTTGTGAATCTATTCTTGCGGGTGCACGGGCGCCTCTGCCACAAACAGAGAAGTCCTGCCTCAACGTGCGATGAGCCGTCTCACTTTATCTGTGCTTTGTGGCTCCAATTATTAAGGTGGAAGGCCGGATGATTCCATCAAGTAGTTTCTATCTCCCGGGCTTGCCTGTTATTAGCGTTCCTAAAGCCTTTCAATCGATCACGGATAATCTGGGGCCTTAATCCTACAGCCCATTCCTTGCCTCCATCGTAGCCGGATTTGCCCACATACATAGCAACCGTTCCTTAATCACATGAACCCTTGCTTTGGTTAAGCTGATGGCGAGCCGACGTGATCCTCTTCATGCAGTTACACGGTTGAGCGTCAACTACCCCAGCATTATCTTGCGATGCCAGGCGGTATTCAGTGCTATCACCGGCGCAGAGAACTACCTTGTGTACAGCCCTAGCTGCCTGTTGCCCGACAGTGACAGCGCCGGCCAGGCCTTCATCCAGTGGCTGGCTGGCATCCTGACGCCATGTGCAGTTGCAACGGTATCCATGCTCTTATGGGCCCTTCGGTAAGCTTTATGTGTACACTATACAGCTGCAAGCTGCCCTGGTTAAGTACGACATATAAGGACGTTTTGTGTTGGTGGCATGGCATGTCGCTATGCAGCAGTCTGTTTTAGTAATCTGAGAAATGCCGATGATGGTACACGCATAACTTTACTGATGCATGCTCCGTAGTCCAGCGACGTGTTACAAATTTCCAATGAAACTGTAGACGTAACTTGAACGTAACTTGAATGTCGATTAGAAGGGTGACGTCAAGAGCCCGTAGAAATAAGCGGCGCTGTAGTGGCGAAGGGCGACTAGGTGGTGGGCGGCTAGGACTGACTACAGACAATGAGGGCAACTAAAATCCAATTAAATCGAACCTAAAAACGTATTTTCCTATCCGAAGCTAGCGGAAAAAGCAGAGGGCCGAGGGCCTTACTACAACAGCGCGTGCGGTGCAGTGCGGTGCGACAACAAGCAGGCTGCCCGGTGCCACAACGAACCCTTCCCATGAAAGCAGAAGGTCGACCGACCTGTGAACAAAGCGAAAAAACAAGGGTGTCGGCGCAGCGGCAGCAGCAATGGGAGTTAAAGTGCTGTTCGGAAGATGTGCGCATGCCAGAGTAGTTTCAACGTGCGGCGCAAACGTCCTAACTTGTTAGGAAAGAAATACATAGAGGCGGTGGTTGTGCTCATACGAGTTACCTAACTCGTTGTTTTTGGCCAAGGCATTACAAAAGTTCAGGGAGCTCTCGGACTGCCTTTCAACCTTTCCTACGATCTTCCGTTGAAGCAACATGAGGGTTACCAAAACCATTTTTATAAAGCAGCTACCTGGCAAACGTGTTTTTAATTAGGGCGATGCACGCAAGCACGAGCTCCTCTTCGCGGCTGTCGTCGCAGGTACGCATATCCACTCCGGGAAGCCCTTGCTAAGGCCTTCGTGAAGGGCGCACGTTCTGCGTGGGCGACCTTGGCTGGCATACCCAAATCGTTGGCAGTGTGGAAGGGGCGGCAGCTCCCGAGCAGCCGGCTTGGAACCGACAGCGTTTGCGGAGATGAGGACATGTCGGTGTGTTCTGGGCAGCGTGCTGACTCCATTGGCCCGTGCCCCCCACCTCTTGCGCCGCTTGACACGTCCTTGGTCACCCAAGACAGCCACATAGGCCTCCGCACCGTTTTTAGGGACGTGCAAATAGTCGCATTGGATGCAGCAGATCCAAGCGCAGGGGTTTCCACCGGTGTCCGGGTCCCCTCGTTAGCATACTCGGCTTCGGGCTCCACGGATGCACTGGCTTCGGGCCTGCCCACAGCTGCAAGTGCAGCGCCTGTTGTGGATCTCAACGGTGTCGAGTTGGGTCCAGCGGCCAAGGTTATCGAGTCAACATCGTGTGGCGGGAATGAAAAAAAAAGCGGGTTGCAGCCGTCTCCCACATGCGACGTGATAACTAACGCTGAGGACCAGTCGGACAGCACGAGTGATGCACCAGGAATTCTTCGGGCTGATGATGCTGTCAGCCCGAGTGGACCTCCATTGCTCCGCGGCGGCCACAGCATAAATATCCTTTCTGGTGGCACCTGCATAGAAACTGCGCCCACTGAGGTGCTATCCGGTATTAACAGCGGGTATGGCACTTCGTACTACTATCGTCATCCATATGAGATGTGGAACAGGAAGCCAGCCAAGACTCTGTCGAGCATGGGCTCTGCAGCCATCAGTGACGCCATCAGAACCCTTCACAAGCTGCGAACGCTGGCAGTTCACACACAGCAATCCAGCCAGGCGACATTCTTGCAGGTGGATAAGGCCATGAGCTTGGTGGAGCAGCTGGGTGTGGTGCTGATGGCGGCAGTCTTCATCCTCTATCCGAGCTGGGCCAATGCCGGTGGGTTGATCAGCACATCATGTAGAAGGAAGCTGCAAGCGTCACCAGTGCTGAAGAGCCTACGAGCATGATAAATAAAGCATATAAGCAGTTGTGTGCCGGTAGGGTTTGCCCTTTGCGAGCTCATCGTTGAAAGCCCGGGCCCCTGCCCTCTGCATGTAGTGTTCCTGGCGTTTCCTAAGCTAGGTTCATGTAGGTGTCCTGTTTAGATAAGAAGGTTAAGCTGATCGGTTGCGTAGCTAATTGTATTGTAATATACGTGTTGATTTGGTGTCGTGCTAAACCTAACTTGCTCGGCCGTGTAGCGGGTACTACTGCTATAGAGCGGGTGGACTAAGAGCATGATATCGCACTACCCTTACCATCCCTCCCCTGCTTTGTCCGATAAATTTACAGCATTATCGACGTTCGCCTGCTATCCCATTGATGATGGAGAAGGATCCTTTCCGGAGACACAGCAGGCAAGTGTACGATTGGCTGCTGGGCCCGAAGCTCAGCATGTGCATAGAACCGCCCGCCTTCTGATCCTCTTCAACCAAACGGACGTTGCCCGATGCCGTGGTGGGCGTTGCCTGCAGTACTCTGGAAAGCTGTCGTATAAGTATGCCATGTGGTGGCTTTCGCAGGCAACCTGGCGGTACGGGTACTGGGTACGCAACATGCAAGCGATGTGCTACAGCGGAGACCACCTGCATGTGTACGTTCCCATCGGGGTAGTGGCCGTTGTGGTCTTCTGCGTGCTGCCCCCGCTGGTGTCTTTCATATTCGTGTGGCGCGTGCGAGGACGCCTGGAAGATGCCCACGTGCGCAAGGTCTACGGCTTCCTCTACAAGCGCTACAAGTAAGCAGTTTTTGTGTGGTTTTAAGCACTAGGCAAACAAGCTTCTCTGTCGTATTCGCCTGTCCGTTGTAATTCCTTTCAGTTAGTGAAATATTGGAAGTCCTACCTATCTTAATAGGCAGTCATGTGCACGTGTATGTCACTGGCAGCCTTCCACATCACATTCGATTTGCCTTGCAACCTTGCCTTGCAACCTCCGCCTGCTGTTCTCGCTCCAGGCCACGCTTCATCTGGTGGGAGACAGTGCTGGAGCTGGAGACGCTCATCCTGGTGTCTGTCGAGGTCCTGGGCCGCGGACTCATTGTGTCATACCAGGTGCGGCGTGCAATGCAATAATCAATTTATGGCGTCCATGGCCCTTTGCAATTTTAGAATGCCGAAAACATCACACCAGGGCCATAGCTGTTGGGATAGGAAGACCTGTCTGGTTGTACACGTATGGTCGTGCGCGTGTGCGTGTTTCTATCTGCAGCAGATGACTGTCTGCCCGGTTCACCTAGGAATTGTAGTAATAGGAGCACGCGGGCATGTGTCAAGGGATGGGGAATAGAAAGGCATTTCGGCCAGCTGTATGCCGCACTACCGCATGGTGCACCTACACTTTCATCATTTTGCAGGCGCTCCTGCTGCTTGCCGCGTTCACTGTCATTGCGCTCATCAACGTCAGCTGCGCTCCGCTCCTGTCGCGGCTTCTGGTGATCATGGAGTTCATGTCGCTGGGAACACTCAGCCTGACCATCACCCTCAGCCTGTATTTTACTGTGGATGACGAGCTCAATCCGGTTGCGGAGGTGCGTGATTCGCTCTAGACGTATTTGTAAGAGGAGCCGGCGTTTCCCAGCACGCCTTTTAGGCAACTACATGGCAGGAATGGCTCGGTTACTGGTCGACTCCTAAAACCGCGGTGCCCCTGTACTGACCTGTGTGTTCGCTGACCCCTCGTTCCTGGGACCGTAACCGAACCAACCAGTAACGACTAGCATACCGAGCGAACCAGTAACGACCCGTTACAGACCCTCTATTTACCAGCCGAGCCACCCGCCGAGCTGGATCGGGTCGGTTACTAGGCCCCACTAGGACCGTTGCGGTCCGAAATCTGCTGTTGGGGGAGAACATGTGGAGTGTACAAAGCTTCAAGGATTTGCGAAACATAAGGCAGCCTCCGTAGCAACGCGCCTTAAAAGCCAAGCTGAGCATGTTATCGGTCGGGCATGTGCTTAAATGTCTGCAGTTTAGGCAGAATAGAAACGGCTACGCTTGCCACCTTCCAATGCCGTTGGGGCCCCGCAGCCCACAATAACATCCCTATTCCTTAAGCTTTTTACTGATGGCCTTGTCCTGATGACATTGGCCGCTGTAAATGCTCATGTAGTCGTGCTGCACGGCTGCCAGTCTCATCATGTGCAACCTGCATGCCTTGCAGAATGCATTGGCGATCCTTATCATCGTCCTCAACACCAGCCTCATGCTCTTCTTCTTGTACATCGCGAGCCGGCATTTTTGGCCCTCAGCCGTCAAGAAGGTTGCACCGAGGGCACAGGCCGTGGTGCGAAAACTGTCCAGTATCGGCAGCAACGTCAGCCGCCAGAAAGACGCCGACATGGATGGCCGCGGCAGCGAGGGTGACGGGCAGCGGGTGGTGCGTTGGCCTATCCTCTGCCGTCTCACTGCCTGGTGGCGTGGTAGTCCTGCCGCTGCTCCGTTTGGACGCCGTAACCCGCCGAATGGCGACACTCTGGCGCGCACTCTTGACCACTCAAGTGACGGATGTGACGACAACGGGGCTCTCGTTACCAGCCCTGGCTCTGGATCGCGGCTCGCGTCTCCGCATAAAAATGGCGTTGGTCTAGCACGGGTCAGCGTTTGCCTTGAGGAGCACTTGAGCAACGTCTCAGCCGTGCGGGTCCTTAAACCATCCACGTCGAGTCACGTGTGCATCCAACTGGATGAGGCTCGTTGAGCTGGGTTGGTCGTGAACATTTATGTGAAATACATCCCGGGGGCGTTTTTCAAAGGACGCGCTTCTGAGAGAAGGGGTTCGTCGTGGACACACATATGGGAAATGGGCATGAACTGGGAATTAACTAATCATGGGTGTCATGAGGGCCTGACCTGCATCATAAGGAAGCCAGCCCCACCCGCGGCCGTTGGGACTTGTGGTACGAATTGATTTGTTTGTTCATAGTTGTGCATGGTTGGACCGCTTGCTTTTCAGCGTGTGTGCGTTCAGGGCCCAGGCGCTGTGTTACCTGGGTACACACCTTGAACTTCAAGAGGGGCTTCGCAGCGGATGCCAGAAACAGAATGAAACAGGTGCGACATCCAACTTGAGGTGTTGGGTATTATACTTCCCATATGGCGTTCTATGGTGCAAAGTTTGTCTTATTTCATAACGTACATAACGGTTATAGCGTCGTCGCATAGCCTCGTGTGCCTTGCTTGCCATAAATGCTGCAGGCGTCATGGCCACCTTGCTCTCGTTGGTAATATGTATGTTCGGCATTGCAGGCTTATCATGTCTTGATGGATTTGTGATGTGGTAAGTTGTCGTAATATGCAGCGATTTACGCAGTTCTATTCATGTCGCAGCTCATTAAAGGACGAGGCTGCTGTTGCATTAAGCGATTTGTGCGCTTTTGTTGCTACGCATTCAGGATGCATTGGATGGGGAATGCATGGAAGCACGTCTTCGACACTTACTCGTGCATAGCCTCCTTGCAGGCAGGTTGAACAGTACGGTCGAATTGCCTTGCCTTGCCTTGCCTTCTACGTGGTGAGTAAATAATTACATATCCTCAGCAGGTAGCAGCAGTTTGTGTTCGCAGATATCTCAAACAGATATCTGTGTGTGCAGGATTTTAAATCAGCGTAGTTCTAATCCGGCTCGCTCGTTACTTATGCTCTTCTTGTACAAACGCACGTTCCCTGGTAACCATGCCAGGCAGCCGCGCTTGTACAGGCAATGCTCGGCGTTAGAAGTAAGGTAGCTCCCCTGGCGGACCTGGAGGCTGTGGATGCCGCCAGAGCGTCCTGTAAATTGTGGGGTTGGTTATATGTACACCTATATTCCATGTTCTATAGTTAGTCCTCCGATGTACGACCTCTTTACTTCTGGAGGTGCATGTTCCTTGGCGTCGTGCTGATCGCGTCTGTAATTCAGATGGCTGCATCTGCATTTGTGGCCTGAAGGGCCCGTTTCCAGATCTTTTCGTTGGTCACAGGCGCTATTAGCGAAGTAAGATCCTCAGCCACCAACGTTGCCAATGCGAGGAATCTTCCGTAATTATCCGGAGGCGCATATATTAGTGACTCCTTAAGCCGGCAGGCTGACCAGGCTTGCCAGGCTGTCCAGGCTTGCCAGGCTGACCATTTCAACTGACTTCGACTTTGCTAGAGAATTGCAGAGGGTATGTCCCTGTACGTATTAGGAATGGGGTTGCCTCGCCCACGTAGATATTGGATGGAAAATGGACGCGCATGCTCGGACTGAGACACAATTACTCTTTGCACAATCCGTCGTAAGAAGAGGCGCTGCGGCCGGGGCCGAAGCGCGGTGTTATTGAATAAAAGGGAAAACCGGTGAAATGCAAAGCGCAGAAGCTAGGAAGATGTGCAGTGTGAAGTAGTGGCCGAGCATAAGGCGGTTACAAAAGTTCACATGACGCAAATCGACCAGACATATGAGATGTGACGCCCGAAAAATGGCAATGTGAAGCGGGAAGCAAAGTAGAGAAGTCATTAAAGGAGAACTAGTAATTAATTATAGAACGTTATACTCGAGAACTGCAGGAAGAGACGGGCAAAAGACGCAAGATTACTTTGCAAGGCTTTCACAGAGAGAGGAGAGAGACGAGAGGAGGGCGTGGAGGGAGAGGAGAGGAGACGCGCTTAAGGAAGGAAAAGAGAGGACCTGAGGAGGGTATGGAGGGAGAGAAAAATGGAGGAAGGAAAAGTAAAGAGAGAAAGGATAAGGAAGAGCACGTTAATGTTGTTTGTATTACCGTGTTTGTCTGTACAAACTACAAATTTCAGGATCTTCACAACAATTCCCAGGATTACCCAACACATCCCGGGCATTCCAGAAGATCAAGTCTGCCTTTTAGCATGTATTGGTAGCATGTATGGTAGCGTGTATTGTTACACAAGCACAACTCATCAATTAGCTTTGCTCCTTGTAAGCTTTCCATCCCGCATTCAAGACTAACCGTACTCGTACAATTTATCAAAAATCCCATCACAACACAGGCTGAAGCACCCTCAACCGCACCCACTACACAGTAAGACAATTCCTCTTTCGGGCAAGCCTACATACGCGTAGCGCGTGGTTTCCACCTGAATACGTCTTCCATCGCGGTTGGACCGTTGGGTGGATGGGGAACGGTTGGATGGTGTCTGGACTCGGGGACTTTCAACGTGTTTTTTGTTGCAAGATGTTTCTTGGTGCTTGATGGAGATCCTGCGCGAGTTGGCATTCTAGGTTGACTCTCGTCACAACTGTTGCAGCACCTCGGACAACGCCAGGGCCCCTAGGACTTTTTCTTATTGTGAATTCCCTTAATCCGAAGCACATTTTAACCACTTTGGTGTCGCTGGCTTCATGACCATGTAAATATTAGTCATAAGCGGCAGCTGTTTGGCCCCGGGGTCAGGTGGCTCTGCTGTCCCCGGCGGCTATTATCAAGCTTGATACAGTAATGGATATAGTGCATGGTGGATACAGTAATGGATACATGTAATGCAGAGAAATGGGCCACAGGGGCGCTTGCTTAATTAGGCCAGCATCTCCTGCCATGCCGAATTTAGTTGCGCTATGACGTGTCATGCGTAACGTTTACTGCAAATAACAGGATAGCCAATTGCTTTATCGCGGCAGTTGCATAGACCAGTCTGGACGATTGCGCAAAAATGCAGTTAACGAATATTAAAGGGAGGGATGTGAAAGGATAACCTCCTACCCTGGATATGCCAAATTTTGTTGCAACAAGGACAACAGATAAAGGCAATCGAGGGTTGTACAACACTCAAATGCACCACAGTGGGAACCGTAGTAAATATTTACGCATGTCAAAGATCTGGAGAGGCTAACGTTTTACTATGACCACAGAATGAATTTAGGCGAGTAGGACCTTCCTGCAGACAGTACGGCATTCATGGAAGTTTATCCAAAACGAAATCGCTTGCTAACGTTGGTGCAAGCAAGGTATGGGTATTTAGCACATTCGAATTCTATCAACCGGTGTTCCCGAAAGGCATCATCCGCTTGATTCAGTTTTAAACCTCCCGCTCAACACTGAACTACGGCATAAGTTATACCACAAGAAGTCTTTTACCAACTTCTATCTTCTTGGACGAGTACGAGTACATGTTAGTCCTGCGGGAGGTGGCATCCTCCCCCGCCGGTTCTGCTTGCCATACCTGGCTCCATGTAATAAAACAGAAAGCATCAATTTTTGCATTTATCTATTCATTTGTTGTGGGCTGTCTCCTGTCAGCTGCAGCGGCGTTTTGAGAACACTACGCCCGTCGTGCTGAAAAATAGACTGCACACCGCCGCTTCCGGAACATGAGGACGTTCATGTTCCTTCTCCTTCTCCTGTTTGGTAAGAGTTACAACGCAATCTTGCAGCAATCAAAGCTTACTTATCACCGTGACATTGGCTCACCTACAATTCCAGTTTGCCTTACCGCCTTGCTTGAATAATGCAATATTATTGTACTCTCCGTATTAATATACTCTCCGTATATTGCGCCGTTTTAATGCATGCTGCATTTGAATTTTGTTAAGCGGCCTTTTGCCGTGTGCGCGGTCTAATGTTTATCTCTAATTGCGCAAGACAGATCTAGTCCATCTATTAATGTACAAGGAAAGTAGTTTCCTGGTCATGTAATGAAAGGGAAAATATTGTAATTAGGCCACGGTTCCTCCACACTCCGACCGCTGATGGCATAGGTAAAGGTCTTAACAATTTTAAAGTTGGTGCCTTTTGGAGCCCAGGCAACATGTTTGCAATGGTGTGCATCACGGCATTCCTACTGTGTTGTTCCCTTCGCGTTGCCCGTTCTCCTGGCTTCCGCCCGCAGTAGCACAGCAGCAACACCTCAGCAATGCCCAGACACTGCAGCCTATCCATACGTGCAGCATAGTCTTGCGGGGCGCTTCTGGCTTTGTTGAGGGAAGCTTCTCCCTGGCAGAATTCCGTCTCCACTGCTGGTGGGGCGACCAGACTGGCACCGATACCATTGATGCCACAAACAGTAGCACGGATGCAGCTGTGAAGGTCCAGCTTGGTCGAAACTTGTTAGTTTCCCTCAAGCGTAGTGGCGGGATTCCTGATCTGTCGGGGGTTCAGAGCGACTGGAGTGCTGCAGCGCGGCCCTTTACAGCCATTTCATGGGATGATGACCCATACCACGACCCATATGATAATGCCTACCGGTCTGTAATGTCTGAGGACTGGGGCCTTGACATTGTTAACGTGCCTCACCTGCAGCTGGTGGATTCGGTGGTGTCAGGAATCCCCTTGAGCAGCGTGGGACCATTGCTGCAGATCCTCAACTGCAGCACCCTGACCACACGAAATGTAACCCTGGAAGCACTGCATCGCCCGCCAGGGGAAGCAGCTTATGGCGCAGTCCGCGTTACTGGGTTGCAATCCGCAACATTTGATGGTATCCGGTGCTCAGATGTCCGTGATGCCTTGGGTTGGGCTTGCCTTTTACTTGAGGCGCGCCCAAATGCTGCTGTTTTCATTCAGGGTAGCTTGTTCGTTAACAACTCGGTGGAATTCTATCATGGAGTGGAGTCTTCCCCGCGACCATTAAGCAATGGAGGACAGCCCTCCACCGTTGCTGAGCTACAGGTTGCATATCCTTCACCTGTGTACGCGTCCTACGATAATGGCGTGCCCACGAGCAGCATATCAGAGGAGCTGCCACTGCATGCAGTTTTATGCACCGAAGATGATGACAACAGTCCGCCTTTCACTGGCTATGGGGCAATCCTTATCATCTACCAGCTTGATGATAAAAGCCTGTGCAACCTGGAACATCCACCGGGTTCTGCTGAGATAAATGCTATTGTGGTGTTGGAGCGGACCGTCCTCAGCTACAACAGAGGAGGGTGCGGAGCAGGCATTTCCATGCGAAGTCCGTTCGCCTATGAAGCGGTATGTTTCGTGTACATACATACATACATAACATGTGCCAGCTGTGCTTATTATGGCGTACATGGCCCCCAGAGGGCCCCCTTCGTCACAACACTGTTGCAATGTCTTTTATTGCCACGATGAGCTTTCAACCTTCAACTTATTAAAACCTTTGATAGTACATACCCTTATCCTAAAGCTGTCAAGGTGGCAGGCGAGCTCAAATAAAGCAGTACTCAAAGGCTTATACCTAACCAAACTTTCCAAGTCACGCAAAGCTACCATGTGCTGCGATGCAACAGGTGTTGGGCCCCTGCACCATTGAATCCTTGCAGGTTCCTGAGTGTAGTGTGAATCGCCACGTCCTAGTTATTCTCAGGAACAGCAGCATCACGAGCAATACAGCCGACATGCATGGTGGTGGCATTCACTATCGTGACGGTTGGGGTGGAACAGTCCACCTGACCATTGATGAAGGGTCCATCCTGTCCCTCAATTCTGCTGTTACCCAAGGTGGAGGTGCCGCACTACAAGGCAGCCACATTGGGAATGTAACGATTTCCAACACGACGGTGTCCTATAACAAAGCGAACAACGGTGGTGGCTTGTTCTTTTATGCATACGGCAATCTCACAACCATCCGAGTTAGCAACAGCAACTTGTCATACAACAATGCGAGTTCATCCGGAGGAGCCATCTGGGCCAAGGCTACCACTGGGCCCATTGGAAGCATCCTTGTGAATGATGGAAGCATCTTGCGCGGTAATAAAGCAGTATCTGGAAATGGCGGAGCCATTTCTCTATCAATAGGTGGCAAAAGCACGAGTCTGAAAAGCCTCGTCGTGGATGGGGTCAGCATCCTGTCTCAGAACCAGGCCGGTCATCATGGAGGGGCGATTTTTGTAGAAGGGCAAGGCAACTGCTCCACCACCACGAATGTGCTACTCGGTGGTGGCAGTGAGCTTATCGATAACTGGGCCAGTGGAGGAAACGGTGGTGCCATGTACCTAAGCATATGCCGGCTTCGGTCCCTGAGTGTCGTAAACGCCAGCATCTCCAAAAACATGGCTCGTTGCTTTCACGCATTCGATCATTGCGACGGTGATGGTGGTGGTATATATGCATTTTTCCAGGATTTTCCAGCAGGCGGCATTTCCATTCGTGAACAGGCGGTACTTGCAAATAATACAGCTCTGCGCCATGGGGGTGCAATGTACATAGCTAGTCAACCAGGTGGAGAAGACAGCGACCGTTTTCCTGGAAATTTCTCCCTGGATAGCAGCATTCTTACGGGCAACACCGCTATTACAGGGAATGGTGGCGCTATCTGTGTGGATATCCAAGCAGACCTGTCTGCGGTGGAGTTGTCCAATACCATCCTCAAAAACAACGCTGCTGTATGCTATGACAGCGATGTGCTCGATGGGGAGTTTCCGGATGTCCTGGTGAGGACTTCCAGCGGGAATGACAGCACCCTTAACGCTGGATGCAGCGGGGGGGCCATGTATCTGGGCATGAGCAGCATGAAGAATCCATTGCTTATAACGGGAGGTTCATTCCTGGTTAACAACTCAGCTCAGCGTCATGGTGGAGCTATCTTTGTTCCCGAACGCACTCAACATCCTGGGCTAATTGTTTCAGGCGGAAGCAACGTATCTTACAACATGGCTGGGGCCAGGGGTGGAGCTATACTTCTGCAACCATTGCTGAGTGCAGATTGGCCTTTTCAGGGGTACACTCTGCTGTTTGACATGAACTCGGTTGCATCTTACAACAGGGCTGCATATGGGGGTTTCTTGTACATGTACGGCACAGGAATTGATACACAATTGAGGATTGATGGCAGCGACTTTATCGGCAACAGTGCAGTTTATGATGGCGGTGCAATATACATGATGCTCGCTCCTTTAGATTTCCAGCCGTCTCTAAATGCAATTGTGGAGCGGGGAAGCACTGTAGCCCTGAACATTGCACAAGGACAAGGTGGTGCCTTCTATCTACAAACTCACCGGAGCTTGAATCTCACCATCACCGGTGCATCCGACGTCTCCAGCAATTGGGCCATGTCTGATGGCGGTGGAATCTACGCGACAGTTACAGGAGGTGGTGTCGAAGGAGTTCTGGTTGGCGGTTCAAGTATCCTCTCAAACAACACAGCTCTATTCGGCCATGGAGGTGCCCTTGCCATTGAGGTATGAAGATAGGGAACTGGGACCAGGAGTAGGGTACGTGGTCTTGCGATAGCCGTCCAGCTGCGACTTGCCCGATGTAACCATGAATACAGTCCTCTTAAGGCATGAAAGCTTTGAGGTACAGATACCTTAATGACGGCGCAAATAGTTGAGGCGGGTACAGGATCCTTTTCGAATAAATTCAAATCCGCAGATGCTGTCCTTAAATTTCGGTTCGCCCGCCAAGCCTAGTGGCGGCTGCTAGGTGCACCTCTTGAGCAGCACTTCAGGGACACATTCGAGCTTTAACACCAGGCAAAGAGTACTCAGGGAGATGCCAAGAGAGCTGAACCCTTTTTACATTCCTCCCCCCCTCGAGCGAACGTCCTCGGGCGCCCCCGGGCATATCCCGTAGGATTTAGGTTGTTTGAGATCCCGTAGGATTTCGAGTTTGTATGTTATCGTCATTCCCCGTCCGAGATGGAGGACTTTGGTATTTACTCAGCTGGTAAACTTCTCGCCCACCCGGGCATCCACCTTTGGGGTGAGAGTATGCTGCATCGTGCCTGTTGTGTGATATGTTCGCAACTGGATTCGATCCGGAAAGTTCCCACCTCCTAGCAATTCGCACCAATGTAACCAGGCAAAGAATACTCAGGGAGATGCCAAAGACGCTGAACCCTTCTTACACGAGCATGGGAAAGTGGTCAATGCCATCTAACGGTAATTCAAACGGCGATGTCATCCAATGTGCCGCTTTACACGTGCAGCTCCCGTGTGTCGCAACGAGCAAACATTTGCCAATATTTCATGATTTGCTGGCGATGTGAACGCCAACAGGCGGTATAATGATGAGTCAGTGTTACTGATGGAGTTAAACAGTGAAGTTATAATCTGTGGTGATGTTGATTGAGCATGCAGCATTGACGTAGATGCATGTCCTGATTGGGACGCACGTGTCTCATACCCGCATTAAGCCTGCAGCTTGTGTCATCACAATCTGCACCACGCTCGCCACTATGAATGATGTTACATCCTAGACATTCGAGCTGAAATTGCAATCGCACAGAAGCTTTTAGGCCGGATACAGTAAGGCGCTTGTTAATATATTTTATGTGTGTATAACAAAGAAAAGCATTTTTGTGTGTGTGTGTTACATGGTTGGGGGTGTGTGACCCCATACCTGTAAAACTACCCATACGAGCCGAAGGCCCAAGGGCAATATCTATACGCCTAAAAGCCACGAAGAACAGGAGACACCGCACATCAGCCCAGACTAGCGTCCAAAGGGGATAACTGAATTTCGGTGAGCCCACACACGTTCCAACATCCTCGCCAGACGTACTGGTTCCCATTTCATGGCCTCCAACATGCTCTGTTGATGATCGAATCCTTCTTCAGCACGATTATCATTATAGGCTGGGCATTCCAATAACACGTGTTTTTCATCCTCAATTCGGCTATTAGTACCACAACAGTGGCAAAACCGCTGCCCCCTGGGGACATGGTACTTGCCCCTTCGTGCTCTATTTGCCTCCAAAGCCCAGCAACATAAACGAAACTGCATTAGCTTACGATGTGCTAAACGAGGAATGAAAACCTTAGCATGTGTTGGCCACATGACGGCTGCGGCTCCCGAAAAGGGCAGCCCAAATCTTATACTTGACCGTCTGCACGCTCGGTTGCTTCCCATCTGATTGGTACTCCTCTGGCAAGACAGTCAGACGCGCATGGTCCCAGCCGCTCATCAAACGCTCCCTTCGTGCTGGTATCACCGCTCCTTCGGGTAGAGGTCTACTCAACAACCAGTTAACACGCTCCTTTACCCCCATGACGTCTTGCGGAATTCCGCTCCAAATATTGCAGTCCAAGAAGGAAAACAATCGTAACGTTGAGGCTCCCCAACCCTCCCATTCCGGGTTGGTCAGAGCATCGGTTATCTCCTGCCGTAAAACTGCATGAGCAATGGGCCCCACTTGCTTTTGAAAGCGGTTCCAGAAACGGAGGATCTGTTTCAACATGTAATACTGTAAGGGGAGTTCAGCCAGCTCTGCATACAACAGCCTGTGGGATGGCCGTGCCGCCCCCACTACCTGCCTCTGAATGAATAAATTCTGCAGCTGGACTGCGCTATCATTTAACATTTATTGACTTCTTTTTCGTCTTACAGACTCAACTTGACACATGCAGCTTTTGCAGCTCGAGGCTGGGTCGTCTGGTGGTGCGAATAGAATAGTCACCTACATATGTACCAACACTATCGTATGCATGCGCCAAGGAGAATGTTTAGCGTCGGCAGCTCCTCTTAACCCTCCTATTCTTCTCATGCACATACGCACCCTGCTGCAGGCGGCTGCTGCGATCAATTCCATGTTAGTAACCGACCGTAGCCGGCTGGAGGACAACACAGCCGGCGGCTCTGGTGGAGCAATATCCCTCAACGCTTCACAACTGGTCATGCCACGCATAGCTGCCGTGACTTGGGATGGCATGAGCACCCTCATAAACAACACTGCAAGTATGAAGGGGGGTGGCTTGTATGCAGTATCGCATGCTGTCCATGTCTCCTTGCTTGGAAAAAGCGAATGGACTGACAACACAGCCCAAGATGGCGGTGGAGCTATGTACATCGAGGCCTTCAATTTGCCTGAGGAAGCCAGCTCTGTCAGGATTGGTGGTGCAAGCCAGCTGAGCAGGAACGGTGCCAAGAATGGCGGTGCGATTTACGTTAATGGATTTGCCGACATACAGGTTGGCGAGGGAAGTGACATCTCCCTCAACACCGCGAAGTACGACGGTGGAGCAGTCTTCCTGGCCCAACTCCCTTCTGAGATCCTCGTGCAGTCCAGCAGTGTGTCCAACAACACGGCTCATCGCGGTTCAGGGGGAGCTTTCTATGTAGGGACGGTGAGTGCTTGGTAGTAGTAGTGGGCCCCAGACCGCAAGGGATTACCCCAGGGTAGGGCCATCGGGCCACAACGGACCGTGCATTGCATTGGGAATCCGTCCTGATGAGACGAAAACGCACATCTTGAACAGGGCGCCTCTGTTGCATACAGGTGTATGGCCCTCCAAGTAGTTGCCTTCCAAGCTGTAGTTGCATGCATGGGTTAAGGTGCCAACACCTCATCTGTGTTATACGGATAAATATTAATCATGCAATCTACATGACCGACACGCAAGCCAACCGAATCGGGGTACTTGTGTGTCAGGCATCTGTATATGCCTGGCCTGTGCACGTGGTACACACTTTGGTCCAGTGCACATGCTTTGAGTGAGCTGTTTGCGTTACCTTATGACAATATAGTCGTTTCGACTTCCTAACTACTGAGCTTAGGGGGCCCACGCAAGCAATGACACCATCAAAGGACTCCGCTTAGTTGCCGCACATCTTGTTATAAAGAAGGATACAGTCACGCGAGGGGGAACGTTTGTATAATTTGAAGCCAGGTAAACCAGCTAGTCCCCTTGCTGTGATATTCCTCATGCATGCACTGTCCTGTATGTACCGATTATTGACTGCCTGTAGGTTGAACCAGTATTCCTGCCACACGCCACTGACCCAAGCTGCACCCTGTACGGGGACAATATGAATATCAGCATATTGAACAGTTCCTTCGTCGGGAACATTGCGGGCGTAGCAGACGGTGGAGCTTTGTATCTTAAGCCGCATGAGACCTGCAGTTCGGAAACCAGTGCATTGCTGCAGATTGACGGTTCCATTTACACCCAAAACACCGCACTGGGTGCTGGTGGGGCAATTGCAGTACGTGACGCCTCAAACTCTAAAGTTACGGTCAGCATTTCGAACAGCGCCTTCAAAGGCAACACAGCGGGAACAGTTGCTGGTGATTTTACAAGCTCGGCAAACTTCGGTGGTGCACTGATGATATGGCACGAGCCGACTGACTCAGGAGGGAACTTCACAGACGCCTGTCATCTTGCGGTTGATAATACATCTTTTCAGGGGAATAGCTGCGACGGGGGAACCGGAGGTGCTCTTATGCTTATTTCCTGTGCCTCACGATTTTCCAGATGCAACTTCACCGATAATCATGCAACACACAGTGGTGGGGCGATGGGTGCGCTACAGATGGCACGCTCTACCGCTACTCTGGGGCTTGTGACGACCTCGGCCTTTGCAGCTGTCGCCAATGGTGCTGGTTTCTCCCAGCAGGCACAAAGTATGTCCGGTCAACAGCCGAGGCTCCTGCTTGATGGTGACTTCATCACGCAGCGGCAAAACCCAACACAACGACGGATAGATGCAATTGGGAAGGATGCTGATTTGAGTAACAGCCGCCAAAACGGTCGCCGCAAGCTCTGGGATGAAACGGAATGCAGCATCAGCAGTGAAAGTAGTACCAGGTGGAATGTTAAGCTGGAAAAGTGCATTTTTTCTCAGAACTCTGCTGACCGAGAGTATGGGGGCGCCCTTTATTTGTATATGACATCGGGTAACGGCCAGATCCGAATTGCAAGCTGCTCCTTCGAGGTGAGTTCAGGAAACCAAAAATTCGCTCGTGCCCTGCTGCACGCCACTTTAGTACATAGCAAAGGAAGCTTTTATCGCATATTGATTACGGTTTTTGATTAAACGGTGCTGGGCATAAATGCTGGGGGACGAGGGGGACGTCGGTTAGCTCTGGTTATCTGCTGCCTGAGCTGCTAATAAGTGCACCGGCACAAATATAATTGCTTCGGCAACTCTGCAATAGTGGAATGATACTCACAAACCATGCCTAAAACTGACAAATGCGTTGTCAGAAGTGGAGTTGCTCATCGGCGGAACACTTGGTTGCCTGCTTAGATGGCAAGGTAGACGAAGGATTTATAGCAGTGTTTCCAATGCCGTCAAGGCGTGACTTCAGGATATTCATATGTATCATCAATGCTTGCCAATGTAATTGCAATTGAATTTGCTTTATGCAGAAAAATAGGGCCGTGCTTCAGCGTGCTGGAGCTGTTTTTCTTGCAGCGAGAGGCGCCAACGCTAGCGTTGAGGTGTTTGACTCTTCCTTTAACCGAAATGCTGCCGACCTGAGCAGTGCTGGAGCTTTATATGCATTGGTCGGCCAGGATGCCTGTGCAACACTCGTGAACTTGAGCATGATTAGCAACCAGGCTGCCGTGTCTGCCGGGGCCAGTGTGCTAGATGTACGAAGCAATGGATTTGTCCGCTTAGAGAACTCCATTGGTGGGGAAAACCATGCAGCTGGTGGTGATGGAGGCGCTGTTCTACTGCAGCTTCAAAAGGATGCGCATGCTTTTATTAGCAACTGCAACTTCAGTGACAACAGTGCAGCCGGGAATGGTGGTGCTCTGCTCGTGGACGCTAACTGCAGCTCATCGCTGTTGGTGGAAAAGAGTATCATGAACCACAACCACGCTGGCTTGTCAGGTGGTGCCATTTATGCTTTGTATGGTTCAAAGGTTGGCCAGGTAGTGAGTGGGAGTGCATTCGGTTCTCCCCCAACACCTTACACAGCTTCGAGTTGCTGTCCCGACGAATTAAATGTCGATCAGCATCTGATGCTGCAGTCTGTTTTGTTGGTGGGTAATACTGCTGGGCAACACGGTGGTGCGATATTTCTTGGATCCAATAGCGCCTTGACAATCTTAAACTCGACGATGCTTGGCAACACAGCCTGTGAAGGGGGGGGCTCCATGTCGGCGCAGAACTGCTCTTCATTAGTGCTGAGCCATAGCACCATACAGAACAGCAGTACTTCTGGCTCTGGTGGCGGGTTCTGGGCATATGGCTGCAGGCGGCTCCTCTTGGAGTATGTGAATATTACAGGCAACATCGCTAGGGTTTCTGGCGGCGGTCTAACCTTTTCGGGTCCCACGGATGACATAGCAGCAGAGGGGCTAACTGGGAACACTGCCTTAGGTGGTGAAACGCCTCAATACACGAGCATGATTGTCCATAGAGCCCGGGTCCATGATAATGCAGCTGCCCTGTCGAGTGACGCGCTAGAGGGTTGCCAAGGGAAGGATTCCTTCCAGCCCGGAGAAAAAGGAAAGGGTGGTGGTTTCTTTATAACTGGCAAGGTTGCCGGCGTGCTGAGCCTCGTGAACTTGGAGCAGCCGAATTACGCATCCCTGGGGAGCGCTATCGCATCCACGCAACGCTGCAAGCAAGCCAGCCTATCAAATGCCGCATCCAACGGATTGGTAAGAGCCTTGCGCGCCACGTGTGTGCATTATGATGTACGTGCCTTGGCTTAAAGGTAACGAGTCACATTTCCTTTAATGCATTGCGATTTATGATAACATGGGAACTCATACACCTGTCACCTGTGGAGCAGCCCATCTTTTGGTAGGACATGCCTACTAAATGCATGTTGGCTCATCACGATGCACAGGTCGGCACCGATGACGTCCGGGTGAGGAACTGGGATGAGTCCTGGGCGTTGCTTGACAGCCTGGCTACTGCAAACTGCTGGCTTCTCCAGTTGGGAGATACCTTGTTACCTTCGGTCACTTTAGATGCAGAAGGCATGACGCAACCATCCCCGCAGCAGGTACGCGCATGTGTATAATGCGGTTGCTCGCTCCATTTGGCATTTATAGCAGCAGGTTTTATTCAACCATTTATTGGTTAATTTTTCTTGGAACATACCACCAGAATATATAAATTAACTGCAGCGGTCCTTTATGGCTCCGTTAGTCTAGTAACATTTGTAACAGCAATTAATGTTTTTAGAATTTTAAGTTCTACAATTTATCGGGCAGGCAAATGGTCGGGTATGCAAGCACTGGATTAGATAGTCGTTCAGTGGGTTGGACAAAATGCTGGATTTTTCGACGGAGCTAGCGTTCGGACGTATGTTAGGGACATACAGTAGTGGCGATGGCGTGACGTCTAGATAGGGGCACCCATCAACTGTTGCTTGTGGTCTAGTGGGTTGGGGACCTTGCTACATTATGTCTGTTTACCTGGGCGATTTATCACGTTCCATCTTGCCTTCCTTTGCGGTCACTGCTGCCGGGTCCCATTCACTTCCCATTTCGTCTCTACAGAAACACACAATTTGGATGGAGGATTTCCTAGCATCAGCTCTGCAAGTATCGTGCAACGGGAAGTGGGAAATCTTGGAATCGCTGTACGATGCGGGAGAAGATGAAGCTGCAGGGCATTATGATGACGACGTACCCCTCCTGGTCAAAACGTTTCTTGCTGACTCGATTACACAGCGTGCTAATGACAACCCTGACTTTATCGCTGGTCAAGTACTAACCATGGCGACTCCAGATGGGAAATTACCTGGGGCGGCTGCTGTGGCCGCGGGTCTGTCGCAGAAATGGTTTGATCAGCTCCTCAGCCAGCTTTCTAGTTGCATGCGCAATCAACAACCAACAAGCGACAAACAACATTCAGCCATGCGACAACAATCATACCTTGCGCTTCCAGCAGCATACATGGGTTTGCGTCTTTTGGACACGGACTTGGTGTACAGTCAGCGTCTACAGCTCCAGCCCGGGTTCGCTGTCAACCTCACTGCACAGTTGTACGACATGTCAGGCCAGGCCGTTACTTGGGGTAGGTAGTTGTTTGTCTTCTTGCAGAGCCAATAAAAATTCGTTACAAAGATCCCAATATTCCGTGCTTATCCTGGTACCCATTCTGATAACGATCGAATTGTCATATGTGTACATATGTATCCGTTGTAATGCACGTATGCACGTAACCACAGTTTCAAAAATTGTGGCAAACTTCCAGGTTCCACGGTTAGGGCTCATGCGCATGTGTTCCCATATACAAACCAGCTTATACAGCTGGAACAAACGGAATAATGCTCTAATTTTAATCTACATGCAGACATGGCACCATCAACTATTACCCTGGTGCTTCGGCCACGGTCTGCGTCAAATGCGTTTTACAATCAGACGGCAGCGGATGGAAGCGTACCCTGGCTTGACAATGACGTGGCCAACCTGGATCCTGGCCTGAATAAAAGCTTGACAGTGTCTGTAGTGAACGGGTCAGCGACATGGGAGGGAGTCAAGACGTTAGCGTGGCCCGGCTACTACAGCCTCATACTGCTGCTAACAACTAATGACTCATCATTCGTCAAGGTGGGCTACGGGTGTTAGGCTGGCTGAGTTCATCAGAATGCACGACTCTGTGGCTGGGGTTGAGACCGCCCGCTGCCTGCCGGTTCTGGGTACAAATAGTGTGTTTGTGTGTGTTACACCTAGAGTTGCGTTACCCTCCAAACACAGTGTTTTTAAAAGTGGTTACTAGTGACCAAATGGTTGCTGAGAAAATAATTCCTTTCCAGAAGGTGGTCACTAGGAAATGTTTCGAGTCACCTGGCAGTAACCAGGTGGTCGCCAGGATATTGGGCCACATACCCCCTTAGTGACCACCTAAATAGTCTTTTGACGCTTGGATGGGAGCAGTGATACTTCACTGAGCTATGGGAGCACGTTGCCGTACATAGAGTCAAAGTTGGATCTTCGGGTGTACGGTTCTAGTGGGCTCCTGTTCAGCATACTCGCTGGGGAAAAATTGTGTAAGGTGGTTGCCAAGGAAAACCCCCACGGTAACCACTTGGTCACTAAAAAATTACCATCGGTGAAAAATTTTAAAAACACTGCCTCCAAAGGTGTAACGGGCCTATACTAGGCGGGAGCCCAAGGGCCAGTCGAAAGACTGTCCGAAAGAAATAGATATCGTAAAAACGCGTAAGAAAAAACTAATATCCTATCGCTCAAAAAGGAAGATTACGCCAAAACCTAACCGAACTGTCCAGACTGTTATGCGGTAGCGGTGCGCCTATGCATTTTGAGAGGCTCCTTAACCAGCTTCAGCTGTTCATCAAATTCGCTCGATGTGGTTATCTGCTACCTACAATCTTGTGGTCAGTTTCGTGTATGTCCCTTGGGAAATGTTTGGCGTGAATATGCAATCTTATATGCCCAGGCACATTATTAGCGCCAAGAAGTGTTGTCAACCCCCGTGCTGCGGCACGCTACTACTTAGCCATGGCTGCCCGCATAACTAATACCGCACTGCAGGTTGCACCGTTGGAGATGGAAGTGGAGGTGCTGCCTTGCGGGGTCGGGCAGACGCTTGACCTTTCGCACAGCAGTTACAAAACATCATGGACAGGCTGCAGGGCTTGTCCGCCTCAAGAATACGGGCTGTGGCAGGACGATCGACCGTGGCTAACAGCGATCATACCAAGTTCCGTGGATGCAGATGCTGCAGCTGCTGCCGACAGCAGTAGCAGTTTGATCCCTTACTTCAAATCTATGAACATAACCCTTCGTGCGCAAAACTCAGCATGCATGTTATGTCCCGCAAACGCGCTCTGCCTGGGTGGAGCTGTGATAGTGCCGGCACCAGGTATGTCTCGCAATCGTCAGCGGAACTGACGGTTGCCCCTTGTGGATCAGCCACACCAAGCGAGCCGCAATGATAAGCCCGGCCTTTTTAGCTATGATAACCCCGCGTGCCCGCATGAAAGCCAAACTACCGTCCATGGGGACCCCCGGCTTTTATAGACACCCCTGCACGTGCATGTGGAACTTGTACCTTGCAACTTCCGCAAAAGAAGTCTGCTGGGGAAGGACGGCTGCCGACGTGGTACCTTGCTTTGCATGTGTTGACTTCCATCGTTAGGTTTTTTGCGAACTTGTTTGCACATTTGTTTTGTTAATTTAGGGTTTTAGGGTTTTTTTATATATCAACCAAAGAATATGATGATCTGGGTGCAAGTGGTCAAACATGGGTAGGGTTGGCACTCATCTAAAGTCGTTTTTCTAATCTAATTATTTCTCTTGAGAATCTCAATGAGAATTTAGAAGGTCTTTTTTGGCACTTGAGGAGACGGTTGGGTCGTTATCTAATGTACGGCACTATAACTCTTTATAAATCGTTAGAAGCCATGTATTTCCTTACTAGACACTCAGAACAAAATTGAATACCGAAAATGGCAGACACTAGCACTGCCCCAAACCAGGGGCAGAGCCAGGAGTCCGAAGATAAGAAACCGAGAGAGTACACGTATGCCAAGAAGTGGTGAGGGCAGCACTGAGGAGGAGAGGGAGCGCAATAAGGCGGCAAAGAAGGGGGTCTTGTTTAAGGAGTTTGGAAACCTCCTGCTGGCCGGGGTACCGGATGAGTGCCGTGATTTCATGCCAACGCTGACTGCACGCAAGGAGGTCGAGCAGACGGTTGGCAAGTCGAAGGTGAAGAAGGTTGAGCTGGCCGGGCTGCCGTTGCACCTGAAGTTTTGGACGGTGCATATGGCGGATTCGTATCCGGCCCTGGCCTTCGTGGCCAACCGCGTCCTCCGCATGCACGCAACCACCTGCGCATCAGAGCGCAACTGGTCGCTGTGGGGCAACCTGTTCCACAAGGCACGCAACCGCCTGGGGCAGATGCGTGCGATGAAGCTCATCTTCATCCGCCAGAACGACAGCTACACGGCCAAGCGCAACACCCTGTCGGATGAGGAGGTGGTGATGCAGCTGCTGGCCGGGGATGAGGAGGAGTGAAGTAGCTAGGGATTCAAGTTGTTCGGTCGGCATTGGTAGCAGTCTATGTCTGCTGAAGTTGGCCAGCATGGGATCTTGATGGCATACCATGTCGGCTTTTGTGCATTGCCAGGGCTTAGGAATGATGATCTGGGCCCTGATTCGTTGAAACCTTAACCCTTAGGGTATGGAGTTAAAGAAGCATCAAAGGGATAAGCGCCTGTGACGTGTACTCGACCGTCCAGTACGCCCTCGCATGCTTTGACCCATGGGTCAATACTGCGGCAGAGTATAATGGCTTGTTTCTGTCGTGCAATTGTGCTTCGGAACGTCCCGAAACTTAATTATTATAACAAATATACCATACAGAATCATCCTACAAAGTTTCAGAGCCAGTCATGCATTTCCCAGAAAGCTGCCAAAACTTGAGATTAGAAGCTAACCCATTCTATTGAGATCTAATGAGATCTCAATAGATTGAGATGAGAAGAATTTTCTTTCTAAACCTAGGGGATACCCTAAACATGGGCAATCGGCAAGCCTCCTCTGAAGCTGATTCTGGGGTCAGAACTTCTTACTTCAAGCTTGAAGCTAGCGAATTGTTCCCTCGCTAAGCAAGCATTATTCAGGCACATAGGTTTCCACCTGACTACTTAAATGCCGTTCTGATATATACACAGTCCCCTTGCTGCTTACACACTTGCTGCAAGCAAAGCACCCATGTCGAGTCTATGTGTTCCAATCCTTGATCCCCATGCTGTGCTCCCCTTTCCCGTCTCCTTACAGGCTACTGGCACAGTGCGGCCAACTCCACCAAGATCCACACTTGCCCGAATCCTTCGGCGTGTAACGTGGATGGTGATAAGAGGACATTTCCGGAGTGGATCTACAGCATGGTTGGCGCGCGGGACTATCGGACAGGGCTGCTGTCTTGGTGCCAGCTGGCCTGGTACAGCAGTGTGGTGCCTGGGGCGGCGGTGCGTAGCTCGTATTTGCCACATCAAACATTGGATGTGGATGGTGGTCAGCAGCCGGTCCTGCTAACAAGCCGTATCTTGTCCTTCCAACGAAATGCTACTACAGCTGACAACCTCCCACGGTGTCTTGTTTCTGGACTACCATCCGGACACCCAGACTCCTACATGCAGCAGCAGTGCGCGGAGGGCTACACAGGAAACCTATGTGCAGCTTGTGTTCCAGGGTACTACGTGGATACGGTGAGCGACGGTGTTGGTTTGTTATGTGCCTGCTGCTGAGATTTTGCTGCAAGAACCGGCGGGGCACGGTCAGGTAGAGCCCGCGGTTTCGAGCTAGCAAACCACCACGCAGAGCAGTGCACAAGCAAGTAGCCAGCCGTTAAAGTGATGAAGATAAGTAGGGACTAATAGCAGGCGCTCATTTGCGGGCGCCGGCAAGGAGCTAAGAAAGGCAACTCGTTTGCAGGTATAGATCCTGAAGGCGCGGCTATGGGTTACACGTGGGGGAAATATGTTAGCGCTGTGATAGCGGTAGCAGCAGCTGCAGCTGGAAGGCTGCACTTATTTAAAATGTAGCTATTGCTGTGGCCTTCAGTAGCGGGTCCATGACCCTGGCCACACCAACTCATGCCACACTGCAATAAACGCAATATTGGAGAGAGCAAGCTTAAAATGAACTACTTGGGAACGAAGATAATGCTGGAAGTGAGCGGGATCTGGCGGGATGTCCAGTAGAGCTGGGCAGGTGGGAGAACATTATGCAATCGTGAAATATTGTAGAAGGAATAGGGACAACGGCAATGAGGGAGTTTGAGCTAAAAAATGTTGATTATTGGGAGTGCAGGTTTCGACTGTGTATAGCGGCGGCGTGTGGTAGAAATGATGTAGTTGGTGAAAGGGATTGGCAAGGGGAAGAACAAAAAGGAAGATACCACAACCTCTTGATGATTACGGACTGCTATAAATTGAAGTAGTTACTAAGCTGTCTGCCCACTTCAATAATCATTGGCTGGCAAAACCTCACACTCCAGGATTTCAACTGCAAACGCTGTCCGAGTGTACTCCGTACCGTCGGATTGGGCCTGATCGCCTTTGCCAGCAGCGTTGGATTGGTCTTGTTCACCACAATTACAAACTTTGCGGAGGGCTTTGGAGAGAAGAATGCCAGACGTCGGGCACGGATGCTCTCTGGCAAATTTGCTGGCGATGAGCTGGAAATTGGAGACGTTGTAAAGGTCGGTTGGCACGGGCCTTAGCTAGCAACGCCATCGCTCTTCAAAGTTGTTTGCATTCGGTTGAATACCCGTATATCTGCGCTGCCTGGAAGGTATTGATTATGGTCCTGTCGTCGCCTTTCTGTCGGTAGTCAACATGCTCCACGGCTCGCTCAAAACTTTGCTGTCATGCCGGCCGGCCCCTGTTTCGTTGTGCATAGGTAATCGTGCTGCATCTCCAGTACCTTATCATCGGTAAGCAGCGCGCGCGGGTGTGCAGGTAAATCACGAAGGCTTAGTGGATGTTTGGTATCCCAAAAGGTGACCAGACGAAGTATGAATGTGCAGCCGCTAGACCTTGGTGATGGACAGACACATGCCGCCATGCCCCACTACTAACACACGTAATTGGGCTCTCTGCGTCAGCAGGCGCCGCTGTCCCTCTCGTCAGCAGGCGCGTGATGATTGTTGTAAATTTGCGGGTACTAAGGGATGTAGCAGTTAACGTCGGATGGCAGAGCAGGTGCAGCAAGATTGAGCTTTTGCACTCGCCTCCCAGTTATCCGAAGATAGATTTGACCCTCTATGTACACGTACACTTGAAGTGCTGAACAACATCCTGTTATAAAGTACAGCATGTGTATAGCGCGGGAAGGAAAAAGGGATACATCCAGCAGTAGTGTGGACGATCACATACACACACGCAAGTTGTGCACGGCAAGGTAGGCCATATGCGTTCATGTCTGCAGGCAAGGCCTTCCATGCCCATGCTTAATGTTTACGGATAATCCCTTTATAATCCTCTCGATGTAGTGACACGCCTAAATGTTGACTATCCAAGCGTCATCCTCCGGTGTCAGGCGGCATTCAGCGCCGTAACCGGCGCTGAAAACCTTTTTGTGTACAGCCCTAGCTGCCTGTTGCCCGACAGAGACAGCGCCGGCCAGGCCTTCATTCAGTGGCTGGCTGGCATTCTTACGCCATGTGCTGTTGCAACGGTATCCATGCTCCTGTGGATCTTTCGGTAAGCTTTAGGTGTGCACTATACAGATAGGGTAGTGGGTTCACGCCGTTTATCATCAGCAATCTGCACTATAAGTTGTTAGCGCACCTGGAACGACAAGTAACTCGTTTTCCGTTCGGCTACGTGCTAACGCAGGTACACACATCCATTACGGGAAGCCGCTGCTCGTGCCGTCATGAGGCGTGCAATGCCTGTGCTGAAGTCTTTGGCAAGCATACCCAAGTCATTGGCATCGTTGACGGCCCAGCCGTCGCAAAGAAGCCCCAAGAGGTCTGAGACCCAGCAGGACGCCTGCCTCAGTAATGGCGCATCCGTGAGCTCCAGGCATCCTGAGTTGGATAACTCGAACTGTGCACACCCTGTACCCACCGTTTCAGGCCCCAGTGAGGGGCTGCAGCCGATGCTGCCCATGGCTTCAAATGCAGCACGCGTATTGGGTTGTAACGGTGCAGACCTAAGCTTCGTGAAGGTCCCCGAAGCCAGCTCCCCTGGGCCGCTGCAGCTCACGTTCATGCCAACAGCTGCAAGTGCAGCCGCCGTTGTAGACTTTAATGGTGTGGAGATGGGAACTGCAGCGAAAATCCCCGAGCCCACGGATTCAGGCGCTGCGAATTTCCTGCAGCCCCCAATGCTGGCCACAGCTGCAAATGGAGTGCTCGTAGTTGACTTCAATGGTGTGGACATGGACGCCTCTGTCAAGGCTCCAGAATCCGCATTGTCTAACCGATGGGGAACTGAGAAGGCAGATGGGTTGCAGCGCCCTTGTGTGGCAGCATCTTTGCCGCCTGCTGGAGACCAGTATGATCACCACTTGTGTGGGACTGGTGGGAACGGTACAGAGCTAGGAATCATCCGTGCTGATGACGCAGTCGGTACGTTCGGCCAGCCGTCATTGCTCAATGCTAGCCACAGCATATATGTACATGCGGATGGCACCGGCCTGAGGACCTCACCCGTGGAGGTACTGTCCGGCGTCGCCAACAGTGGCTATGGTGCTTCCTACCATCGGAATCCTTCTGAGACGTGGCACAAGAAAACGCTGTCGAGGCTGGGCTCTGCAGCCATCCACGACGCTGTGAAGACGCTCCACAGGCTGCGCACGATTGCAGCTAGGACGCAAGAATCCAGCCAGGCGACATTCTTGCAGGTGGATAAGGCCATGAGCTTGGTGGAGCAGCTGGGTGTGGTGCTGATGGCAGCAGTCTTCATTCTCTATCCGAGCTGGGCCAATGCCGGTGAGTGTACATGTACTACGTTCAGCATGCGAATAGCCCTGCATATATTTCCCCTGTACCCAGCAGCCGTTGCACAGGAATATCATTAATGCTGCAACACGGCCTTATCGGGTTCACCCGAAGCACAGCGCGAGTCTAGCTGATTTTCCATTCGTCATACAGCTCGCCCAGCTCGTCCGCCTAACATGCTGCCTATGCTGCTAAGCCTTACAGCCACGTGGGCTGCAATGGGGCCAGAGTAAACGGACTAAGGCCATGTCTCATCGTAAAGCTAATGTAACTGTTCCGCGCCACACACTTTACAGCACTGTCTACGTTTGCCTGCTACACCATTGATGATGGAAGGGGGCCCTTCAAGGAGGCTCAGCAGGCAAGGATATGGTGATTGGTGGGGCCGATGTGTTAAGTCATGTCAGGGTTAACTGCACCTCCCTTTCTGGTCCGAACTGATATGCATGCGCGCTGATTACACCACACTGTGCATGAACTTCGGTTACGTGCCAGTTCGTAGATGCGTCCCATTATGCATGTATGGCTTTTGCAGGCAACCTGGCGGTACGGGTACTGGGTGCGCAACATGCAAGCGATGTGCTACAGCGGAGACCACCTGCATGTGTACGTTCCCATCGGGGTAGTGGCCGTTGTGGTCTTCTGCGTGCTGCCCCCGCTGGTGTCTTTTATATTCGTGTGGCGCGTGCGAGGACGCCTGGAAGATGCCCACGTGCGCAAGGTCTACGGCTTCCTCTACAAGCGCTACAAGTAAGCGGTTCTCTGTGCACTGTGCTGTGCTTGCTGCGCTAAGCCATCCATTCGTTGTTCTCAGAATATAATTGCGCGTGTGAGTACGCCCAGCCTGGACGAATGGCGCATGGACTTGCCGCAGGCCTAGCTTCATCTGGTGGGAGACAGTGCTGCAGTTGGAAACGCTCATCCTCGTCTGTGTTGAAGTGCTGGGCCGCGGACTCGATGTATCTACCCAGGTAAGGAGTGCGGTAATTTCGGCGAGGGTTTTCGTTATTAGTAGTAAGGATTAGCCTCTAGGAAGCGCTGCATGCGACTCTGGCTCCTAACAGGAGCATACAAGAGAGAGCCATGGTAACGCCGATATTGGGCATACGATATTTGGGATGCTTTTGTAAATTTCGTAACTCAGGTGTCGTTGTACCTTTCATACACATGCACCCTTCCACACGTATCCACTGCAGGCTCTCCTGCTGCTTGCCGTGTTCACGGTCATTGCGCTCATCAATGTCAGCTGCGCTCCGCTCCTGTCGCGGCTGCTGGTGATCATGGAGTTCATGTCGCTGGGAACACTCAGCCTTACCATCACCCTCAGCCTGTATTTTACAGTTGAAGACGAGCTCAATCCTCTCGTTGGGGTGCGTAACTGTGCAAAACAGATAGGTGTCACTATGCAACATTTCAAATGTGCAAAAAGAGGTTCCTGCAGTATTTTTGCTACATAATGACCCTAAACAACGACCCGGTAATGTACCAACAAGATGAGCCTCTTTCATTGATGGCTTTCTTTGATGTTTTAGGCCATCGGCTTGACCAGGTCCTTAGCCGCCCTCATACACAACCTTGTGAGGTCCACGCGCCCCCTATCTTCCCTGCAGGATGCATTGTCCATCCTCATCATCACCCTCAATACCAGCCTGATGGTCTTCTTCTTGTATATTGCGAGCCGGAACTTTTGGCCCTTAGCCGTGAGGAAAGTTGCTCCAACGGCCAAAGCGGTGATACAGAGGCTGGCCAGCATTGGCAGCGCTCCCAGCAACCAGAAGGACCCCAGCAAGGAGGACAGCAGCAGCGGTGGTGACAACAAGCGGGTCGCGCATTGGGCGGTCCTCAGTCGCCTCACTACCCGCTGGCGTGATAGGCTGGTAGCTCTCCCTGATACACAGCCGACCGCGTCCCATGGGGACTCTTTGGGGCGCTCTCTGGACCGTCTAAGTGTCGAATGCCGTGACGTCAAGCCCCCAATCAGTGGTGCAGACTTCAAATCTCTGCCCGTGGCGCTATCTCTCAACAAGGGATTAGACATCGCGCGAGCCAGCATTTGCCTGGACCGATTGAGCAGCGTTTCCGAGGAGATTGTACAAGAAGCGTTTAATGGGCAAGGGCCCAACGGCCACGCCGGCAATGGGCAACGGCCGGGCCACGTGCTTATCCAGCTGGACCAGATTCGTTGAGCTGGATGGAGCCTCTGCGAACAATAAATCTAGTTTGTTGATGGCCGTACAGGTTTCCTCTTTCGCAGGGCCGCGAGCCCCGTGTAGCTCAGACGCTATGGCATCCAGATGGTATGAAAACTGGACGAGCGGGTACTTTTGCTCGTACACGTTTGTTGGGGCCATCGACCCAAAAGATTTGGCCAGCCCGCACTGCTCTGCGCTCATTCCGCCGGGATACACTGTAGGCGTGAGGTAGGTCATATTGCGGGTTTCCTTTGCGGCGAATCAGGATGAAGCCATGCGAGCAGGATGGCTCATTCTGCTGATGGTGCCGATGGTGCCAACCTTGAAGACGTGGGGAAGAGCCACGTGTGGTACCGGGCAGCGGGAATGACGGATGTAGCTCGTCATCAAATAGGCAGTAATTGTACAGCATAATAGAACTGCTTTGTTCCATATCTTAATTGAGTTTATGTTGGTCATGTGGTTGCATAGCGTGCATTCACACTGCGCACTTCCCAGTGCCGTCTGTCCTGCCTGCAATCTGCGGCTTCCTGATGAAGCCAGCAGACTAAGATCAGCGCTATAGCGAGTCAACATTGGTGGGTGTCAGAGAGGCAGTAAATATGTACAGATTGCTTGGTTAATTCGCTGGATTCGCTGCTAGGGCAATTGTATGTGTGTGTCTCCAGACGGTGGGTGATCCACGTGGACATGCAGCAGGCAGGATGGACTCTTCCATTAAAAAATTCTTTGGCGTGAAATTGCATGCCATGGCTTCAGGTATGGTACGCAGTGAGTATGCAATGCGCAACTAGCTTGCGCTGTCCTAATAACAAAGGACGTGTCGGCCGTGCATCTCTCCATGCTCGCTCTACCTTTGGCACGTGCAATCAAAGCATGTATTTCAATCGCGCATTAACGACCGCACGCGCATGCTGCAGGATGCTGCCGGATAAGACAGGAGCGGAATGAACCTTGTGTTCGTTGAAGCGCGATCTTGTTTTGTTTTGTTCGACCTCTTGGTGGCCGCTCGTCTCTACGCAGGCGGTCATCATTGACTAGTGTCCTTGTTTAACGTGTGTATATTCCTTGAGTAGAATTTTTTGTACTAGTACTAGAATTTTTTGGAGCTGACCTGGGAGCCTTGGGGCCTGGGAGCCTGTGTTACTGGGAGCCTAAGACCCTGAGAGCCTGGGAGCCTGAGAGCTTTGGGGCCTGGGAGCCTGAATGCCTGAGGGTGTGGGAGCCTAGGGACCTGGAGGTCCGGGAGCTTGGGGGGCTGGGATCCTGAGAGGCTGGGGGCCTGGGAGCCTTAAAACTTGGGAGCCTGAGAGCCTGGGAGGATGGCGCGACCAGCACATCACAGGGCGACAGCGGCATAAAGCCAGCGACAAATGCAGAGGAGGTACTACCTGCCCACCATCGATCAGCAGCTTGTCGCCAGGCTTGCAGCGGCGAACATGGTGCACAAGGTTCTCTAGCGTGTTCTCCATATACAGCAAGTTGCAACCACCAGATTGCATGGTTTATCAGATGTTATGTAGCTCTTCATTATCTACTTCTAGGCCGGCCGAGCTAACTTAGAGATGCTCGTCATTTCACCCGAAGGTGAAGCATTGGATCCTACAACTCTTTGTAAACTTTGCCCAAGTTTTGAGATTTACGTCTTTACAGCGTGTGTGACATCAAACCTAAAGATGTGGATACGTGGGCAGTCTTGCCAGGAAAATGTTCATCTGTCAGCGTGCACCAGTCTGCACCAGCCAGCAAACTAGCATGCCGCAGCTCAGCAGGCAGGTCCGGTCACTTCACTGACCAAGGTGTAGACAAGGCACCTCTTATGCATGGTTAGGCACTTTCAATCACATTCCATACCTGTTAAACCGAGTTTGTACCGGCCGGTAACCGAATGGTAGCCTATTTGCACGGTGACCCATCGGTAGGGTAGGGTGAACGCCTGTAACTCCCCGGTAACCCTACCGAGGCCCCACCCTAACGACCGGTTGTGCCGGAGGGTTGCCGATCGGTGACTGGTCGAATGTATGCCATAGGGAGGGTGCACACCGGCCTTGGTCTCAGAGCACCCACTGTCCATTTGGCCGCGAATGGCCGATTGCATTAAGGCTGTTACCTATCTGTGGGCGTGCCTGGCACTGGACCAGTCGGAATGCGGAAGCTACTGTAGATGGTAGCTACACGTGCTCGTGAGCATGCCATGATACTGTAGACGGGGATGGTGCAGGGGTTTGTAAAGTGGTTTGCCCTGGTTTGCCCTTCGGCTAGTATCTCCGGTGCACGATTTGGCGTGCCTGTTGCACAAAACGAATTTGTGAAGCCTGGAAAATTGTGTGCTGATTAATCTGCACCAAAGCTCAAGTTCTTGCCACTCTCTGTACTGCAACTTGTACCGCAGCCTGAATTCAAATTTCGGTCGGCGCAGTGCGCAGTTCGGACGCGGTGCACAGCGCCTGGTGCACCTTTCGGAACCTGACCAGATCTCAAAATGGGCCAATATAATGTTGGAAATCCATGTATAATATTCGGGCACTATGCCGGCTTTCGTTTTGCTGTTGTTGCGTACGTGCACGGCTGCATTCACTCGAAGAAAGTCCGTTCGAATTCGGGCGAGCCCACCAGCCGTACAAGTTCGCTTGCACAGTTATATGCATTGCGGTCTAATGTGCACTAGCACATGCCGAATCAGGGTTCCTGTCAGTGCGGGTTGTTGCAGCAGTAAGAGCTGGCCTTGTACGAGGATTTATGCCATGCGCGTAGAGCTCTCTTTCACACTGAGGCGCCGAGTGCACACGATTCTACCCTCATTTAAGGACATGCGGAAGGAGACAAATGTTTATGCGGCCATGGAAATAATGCGGTGGCATGTTCCTCACGCGCAGCCGGGCGGAGGTTGGGGAGTGGGTGATGGCAAGCAAGCCCAATTTTGTCTGGGCGGTGGGTGCGGGGCGGATGTCTGTTTGGCATTGTGGGCCATTCTTTGTCATGTGCGATTACATCTTGGGCCGTAGTCGATTTTACTGTGAGCACACAATGTGAGGTAATTTGCTGCGTAAAGGGAAATGGCTGTGATTTTTGAGCAGAGTGGCCATACCTTGCGAAGTTACGGCAGTCTTCTTCCCGCTCTTCCTACCCCATTCCTGGCAACATAGCACAAACCTTTGAAGGGGGGAGATAGTTGCTCGACCCACCCTCACCCGGCGCAAACAGCTCCGTATTCGAAGGCAGGAACACAAGGTCAACCGCCAACTCCATCAACTGTTGCCACCAAGGTTGGGCCGTCCAGTACGGCACGACTAGGAAAAACACCCTAGCACTGCTTGAGTGCACGTGTTTTCCTCCCTGATTAAGACAACACGCTGCTGAAATAACGGAAGAAAGGACTCTAATGTTTGATGGACAGCGTGCAACGCCTTCCAACTGATGTGCTCGTAGAGCTCTGGTGCCGACCAATAACCGCGCGCCACACGACCATGCAGGACCGCGCCCCACGAATGGCACGATGCATCCACCGAAAGCTCAACTGCAGCAAGGCCCTGGTGAATAGCAGTGGTGGATAGGGATGTCCGCCCACCACCCGAAGCCATGTAACGACCCACGGGACAAGCGCGCTCGACCGGACCAACCAACCGGTTGCTTCACATCATCGTACAATGGCGGAGAAATAAGAGAGCTGGAATAAGGGACAATTTGATGCTCTGTGCAAAACTACAAAGCTTAGCCAGGTCACACTTCTGCACCAGACGCTGATTGTTTCTTTGCCGTGATCCGCAACCCCGATCGCCAGCCACCGCAATTTGGCGAGCTTTTGCTCAGGCACCTCAAACACACGAGCTGCCATATTGACCGTAATGCCTAAGTGATACACTGACTGCGACGGCTCCCACTGGCACTTGGTGGGATGACAGGACAAACCCAAAAACTCGATACTCTCACGCACCCAGCGCGCACAAAAACGTGCTTGCTCCTCGGAAGTAAACACGAATAGGAAATCATCCAAATACGCTAGTACTCGCGCACCCGGATGTGAAGGACGCCCTGTCTGGGAAACGGGAAAAAACCGGTGGGGCGAGAGCAAGGAGCGAGGGACACTTGCGACCCTTGTCCGCCGCAGCCAAAGAATCCCGCCAAATACGCACCACATTGCGCATGAACTGCTGAAGAGACGGTGTACCTCTGGGACCTAGCAGACACGGCTAAGAGTAATTGGCCGTTACATGTAGTCGGGAGGTCCGCGACCTGCCACCGATAGCCCCTTGCTTGGGCGTAAACGTATTGAGTCCGAGGTGCTGTTACCGGCACACAGCAGGCCTGACGGGCGGCCTGTCAGTATTCTAGCACCTTGACAGCCGCCACTCATAACAGCCTGACGCGGGGCCTTTCACAGACCACGGGGCGACACGGCACACCCCCTTCACACCAACATGCCCCCTCGAGTCGCACCAGGGGCCTGACCGCAAACTCCCAGCACTGACGAGCTCGCTCAGCCGCCAAGTCCGCGGTCCAGGCCGGCTGCTCAACGCTCAGCAGACACAATCGCAGCTTGCCAGCCTTCAGCCTGTTGGCTTTGCGGTCTGGTGCCGCAGTCCAAACACACACGGAAAACAGCACTGCACAGCACTGTACGCACTGCCTATAGCGCCCCTTCGGGCATTGACCTGCCCATTCGGGAGCTTGCCCACGCGCCCTTGGCGCCCTCCTAGCTCGACACACTTCCTCTAAGCCCTCAGCAATTTTTCCACTTCCCCCTCGCATGGCGCTCAGGCGGTTTAAGTGACGCTCAGTGCCGTGCGGCAGCACACGAACGTGATTTCGCCCAGTGCCTTGGTGAGAATGTCAGCCACCATGGTGGTGCAATAGCTGAGCTTAACCTCACCGCGCGCTGCCGTTTCGCGCGCGATGTGGTGGTGCACGTCGATGTGCTTGGGAGCGCACCGACGTGATGGGGTTGTTGCCGAGGCTGAGCGCGCCTTGTGAATCCAGCTGGATGTTGACAGCGCCGGGTGACAGGTCCAGGTCGCCAGCCAGCTTGCACAGCCACATAGCACCTCGCGCACGGCTGCCGCGGTGCCCTGGTACTCGGCCTCCACGGACGAGGCAGCCACGGTGCGCTGCAACTGGCTGCTTCAGCTGACCGCTGCACTGCCGAGCAAGAACGTGTAGCCCGTGGTGGACCGGCGGGTGGCTGGGTCGCCGGCCCAGTCCGCATCACTGTACCCGCCGAAGTTGCTGGTGTTGCCGCCACTGTCGCCACGGTACCGCAGCCCGAGTGTGTGGGTGCCGGATAGGTAGCGCAGCACGCCCAGCGCGAGCCCCATGTGGCCCTTGGTGGGGGCGGGCATGTGTCGCGCGAGCATGCTCAGAGCATGTGCGATGTCCAGGCGTGTGCTGATGGCGAGGTCGTTCAGCTCGCCCACCAGCGTGCGGTAGCCGCTGCCATCAATCACTGTAGGCTGGGCGTCGCTGGCTGGCAGAGCCCGCGTGCCCTGAGGCAGCGGGGTGGCGCGCGGCTTGGTATTCTCCAGGCTGTGGCACTGCAGCAGCTGCTCCACATGGCGCCGCTGCGTGAGCACGATGCAGCGGTTGCGGCCATCCTGGATGATCTTCATGCCGAGGTAGTAGTGCGCCTCGCCAAGGTCACGCACTGCGAAGCAACCGGCGATGGCTGCCTTGGCGGCCGCGACCACTTGCAGGTTGTCCGCCGTCACCAGCATGTCGTTGGCAGTGTGCACTGCGCTGTGGCCTCCGCCGCCGCCACTGCCGTCAGGCACGTTAGACTTAGCGCTGTCAGCGCTACCACCCGCAGCGGTGGACTTCCCGACTCTCGACCGCCACCTCTGCTGCTGCCGTCGGGGGGGCGGGCCATCGCTGACCGGGGCCAGCGGCGTGCGCAGGGACTGCCGTTGACTGCGAGTGTTGGGGCGGAGGGGTGGCGTTGGGGTCGCCGGGGGCGGGGCGGCCGCTGGGATCGGCAGTGTGGCGGGCGGTGTAGAGCCACCGATGGGGTCGCTGCCGCCAGGGCGGGCGGGGCTAGTGCCGACGGGGGTGCCCGCCCGTTGCGAACCGGGCTGTGGCGGTCGTCATCGAAGGTGATGTCGCTGCTCATGGTCACCTTGCCCTCGACGAGGATGCAGTGGGCGGCCGTGCCGTGCTCCAGTCGGCAGTAGGTTCCCTTCTTTGCGCAAGGACCGAGTTTGTCCTGCTGGCTGGCTAGGATGCGGACTTAGGCCAGGCAGCCGAAGGTGTGGAGGTGGGGGACGCCGTGATAAGCTGCCCACGGCGTGGCCTCCCGGCCCTGAGAGGGGGCCACATTGCGCAGGAGGTTGGCGTAGAGCACCGCCTCCGGCCAGTAGCTGCCCGGGAGTGCTGCATCGTGCAGCATCGGCCCCACACGGTCGAGGAGCATGTGTTTGAGTCGCTCCACCGCTCCGTTCTGCTCCGGGGTGTACAGTGCCGAGTGGGTGTGCGTGGTGCCGTGCTGGTGCAGCCACTGCTCCAGTTGCTCGGC